ATTTTTTTTTTTTTTTTTTTTTTTTTTTTTTATTCCACTGTATAATGCAAAGTTATTGAGATATTAAGTAGATTTTAGTGTCACATTATAATATCAGAAATATTTCATTATATTAAATATTTTTTATTATAAAATTTCTGTCACAACTTAAGGAAATATGTCTGTCATATGTATTTATCATTACTAATAGAGTAATGTAGTACAAGTATTTGGCAATTTTCACGTTTAACATGTCGGAACCTTTTTAATAATACAAAATAAATTTATAAATAAGTTTCCTGAAACACACTGAGTTAACTTAAAATTATAAACAATTATTTAAACTGAATATTTGTGATGTATTGATGCCAATTAAAAGTTATTGTGCAAATGATAGCATTATCTAATTTTAATTATTTCTAATGTGCAACAAAATTTATCATAGCAGCAACAACACACACATATCAGCCTTAGTGCAATTTTACATGAAAGCCAAAGATGATACATAATTATTGCAATTATTATAAATAATTATTAATATATCATTACTTAACTCAAGTACAAGTAAGTATGAAAAAAAATAGTTTTAATAAAAAATTAAAAAATTAAGTTATTTTTATATCTTAAAAATAATTATTACAAATATGTGTTGTTGCTGTTACAGTATATGTTGATGTTATTAATCATAGAATTTTAAAAAACTTTTTTCTTCTATTATTAACTTGAAGGTGTCATTATTTAAAATTATAATTGCTAATAATTATTTATATTGATGATTTTCATAGAATGCATGAAATCTTGAACATTATGTATCTTTAGCTTTTATGCTTTAAAACTTTTAATTTTATTTCAATTTTTAGTCGCTGTTTTAGTGGAAAATAATATTGCTTTAAATTTATTAATTTTTTAAGGTTTTACATTTTTATTGAATGTTGTTTCTATGTATTATGAAAGCTTTAAGTTAACTTAAATCATTTAAGCCATTGTCAACAGGTAATAAATAGATTTTCTTCAATGTTGTACCTAACAGTAAAGTCACTATTAAACTGTAGCTAGACTTATTGAAACTTGTCAAATTTGATAACAAATTGTAAAATTTACACTTATTTATAACATAATTATAGTGTCAAATCATTAAAAGTTTATTTTCAAATTTAAATAATCAAAGCAAAATTCATTAAACTTCATTCTTTTTGTTGATATAATTACAATTAACTTCAATCTGTAAAATTTGATATATTCAATTCCAAATTTTTTTTTATTTTTATTTACATAAATTTATGAAATGCTTAATTAATTTTTTCAAGACTTATTTAATTTTTTTCAATAGACATATTTACAGTTAAATCACAATGTTTTGACAAATCTAATAACTTTTGATCCAGCAAATATTTTGTACCATTATTTTTTTGAATAATTGTTACAGTTTGGACTACATGATATCATATTTTTACTTTTCTTGAAATTTTAAAATAGTAATAGTTTTGCATTTTTTTTTTTTTTAATAACATTTTGATAGGCCCATAACAATTTTAGGACAAGTACTCTTTGAGTTGCAAGAATTTTAATACATTGAGGTGGGTATGGTATATATTAATCAATAAGACTTGTACCCACCTGCACTATAAACCCACTCTAAATATTAACATTTTAGTCTTTACAAAAAAACTGACAATTTTTTAAAAATAAAAAATGTAATTTATTTTTTCTTATTGTAGACAATTTATAAAAATTATGCTTCTATAAAAAATTCATACTTGTAAAAATTGAAAAAGTTTCTAAATAGCTGGTGGATTGAAAATTATTAGATTTGTCAAAACATCGTGTACCACTGTGTATATATACTACCTATATGAAAAAAATTTGGAAAATTTACAACTTACGTTGTAGAAACAAAAAAAAAAAGTTCAGACATTTAGCTACATTAGTTCAAAATTTTTATTTGTTAGGAAATTTTTACCATGTTCAATTTAAGTAGATTACTAACATTTCTAATGAGTTTTAAGCATAATTATACCAAAATTAAGGCTTACATTATTACTATATAGTGATAATAAAATGTTCAATTTTATTGCCTTGATGTTCAAAAAATTTATGATGAAATTAAAATGTGTTTATTGCTGTGTGATTGACATAAGAAATTTAATTGTATTGTTTATTGTCTATTATATGATTTGTAGGTCCTTATATACAATAACTGTATATATTTTAGCTAAATTAATATCCATAATTATTAAATCATTTTTGAAAAACCTGTGTTTTGGAACACATTTCTTACTAAAAGAATGAAATTTTATTGAAGTTGACTTTTCATGGATTTACTTATTTTTCTAAAATTTATTATTTAATTCTAACTTTATTATTTATTTCCAACTAAATTTCGTGTAATTGATATTTTATGGTTTATAATTAAACTCTATAAATTACAAAAGTTAGTTATCTCTTTATTTGAACTAATATAATTATAAATTAGTGTGAATTTTATATTCATATAGGAAGAATGTGAGTGTTATGGTTTTATGAACTTATTTTGGGCGTCATTTTGCAATGTTGTTGATGATGATGCTGGTGTTGTTGATAATGGTGTTGTTGATGGTGAACATGATACATTATGTTTTTCACATTGTTGGTACAAATTGATGGTTTGGTAGATTTTTATACAGGGCGATCTCACCGAGTGCTGTCCGATTTGACAAATCTTATTTGGTAGGTATAAAGTGTGTATTATATCTGTGAAATGGAAATATCAAGGTTGTGCCATTAAAATTATATTACATTAGTTTAATTTTGGTCCAGCTGTATCTAAGATATAATGTGATTGAGGTTCAAATCATCTATTTGTCAATGCACGTGATTAATACACACATACATGAATAATGAATAATAAAATTTGTGTAAAGTTCACAAATAGTATAAAAAGTTAATATAGCCATATTAGTATTAAAAATTTTAGTTATTATACATAAATTAAATGGGTATTTACTAATAATTTAAGTTATAATAATAATAATTTAAGTAAATAATAATTTGTATTTGCTAAAAAATGTGTAATTCAAAATGTATTAATAAGGTTATTAAATTACATTACTTTATTGCATTAAGTGATAGTTAAATGAAATATAAAGTATTTATGAGTTTTATTTTTTATATTATCTTTTCAATTATTAAAAAGTGATTGATGTATTTATGTTTATATGAATTTATTTTAAGTAAGCATAATACAGAATAAGTTGTTTTCTGTAAATTAAATATGTATTTTTTTCAAAATACATTCCTAGATTAAAATTTTGTTAATTTACACTGTCTTCAAAATTGTGGATTTAGTTCAAAGATTTGTCGTTTACAATGAATAGAAAATCAATGCCCTTGTCTTTTTTGACTAAGTAGTGCCAGAAATGGATGTCCAAGTTGGAAAACATGTTTACAGTATTCCATTTTATTTCATGTGGTGTGTACCACTTGGGATTATGTATTTTTTATATATTTTAAAGTGACCCATTAAATTAATTATTCAAATAGGTTGCACATTTGACAAGATCATTTTACATTTGTATATATCTAATTTTAAAAATAACTATGTTATCATTAACTAATGTTTATCTAATAGTACTAAGAGTATTTCTATTGAAAGCAAACATTTATATAATAACAGTGGATTTTAATTTAAGATAACTGTACAAATATTAAATCTTAGTGATGATAAGAATAATATAACTTGTTGATAGTATTTTTTTTTTTTTTTTTTGAGTAATTATTAATATCTATTCTTGTGTTGTTTGTCAATTTAGGTGATCCTGTTCGAAGATTCACATTAAACAAATAATTTGTTGGTAATAATATTGATAAGGTACCCTCACAGCAATTGGAAAAAGTAGTTTATGCATTTTATTTTCATACGTCAATACTAAATAATATTAATTACATTTTATGTCATCACTTATGTTTTATTTTCTCTATTGGATCTATTTGTAATCTTATTATGTATACTTACATTAAATTTTTGAATATATTGAAAATATATAATTTAATATAGTTCACAAAATAACTATTTTATTGTTATTTAGCAATTCATAGTACCTCAATAATAGTATTAGATAATATAAGTTTAAATCATAACAGCTTTAATATATAAAAATCTTTTTGTGTATACATATGCATTTTCTTTAATTTAAATAATTTTCAAATAACCAAATTTTTTTATAATTCAATTAAAAATAAACCCAGCACAGTGGGGAAGTGGCATAGTTGGGTCAAGTATAATGATATCTGACAATGATTAAAATCACTGATTCCACTCCCAAACCGCCAGAGGAGAACTCTTACCCAATTTTAACCTAATATACCCATTAAACTAAAAGATACAATAACACAACTAGATTGAACCGCGCACAAATCATTATTTTGCTTACACTTTCTATTACTAAGTATTTATACTAATAATTTTCAGGTTATAAACAGTATTAAATTTAAGGCTAGGTGTTTAATAGACTATTTGGTAGGCACTGACGCTACTAGTACCTGTTGCCACTCATTTTCTCAAAAATTATTAAAAATTAAAATTTTTTTAATGAGATTAATTTGGTTTGGTTAAAAAACTACAATATTATGTAGTAAATTTTATTTATATCTGAAGGGATAAAAAACTTAATTTTTATGAATCACAATGGTTAATAATTCGGTCTTCACGGAGAAAGTGTGGTTAATATATACATTAGGGTGGTCCTTAGTTATAGAAGAAAAAAATTTTTTTTGAGAAATTCAGAGTCATGGGCTCAAAATTTCGTTAGGTTCACTGAAAAAGTGAAACTGATAAAATTTGAGTACAATAAGTCAACCCCTTCACGTGCCTCAAAGGGGTTGAAGTTCTTCAAAAATGGGGTGGATTTTCTTTTTTTAAGTGTACGCTCTTTATTTTTGAAGTTTCGCCAAAAACACGAATAACAATTTTTATAGAACTCAATGTGAACAAAAAATAAGGTAATTTATTATTTTTTTGTAAGATTAATATTTTTTCGTAAAAATAAGAAAAATCAGTTTCATTTAATTTTTTAAAAAACTGAGTTTTCAGTTATACTTTTACAGTGTCTTAAATTTTAATTGCACAGAAGTAATATTAATCACCGTGATATCTTTTATAAAAAAGGTTATTTAAGTTTTTTTTGAATTATGAATCCTTTCCAAATAGAAATTTAAAACAACTACGAAAGCGTGTTTTTTTTTTAAATTTTTTTTGAATGTATGTTTTTTTGTTCATAAATTAACAAATTTTCTTAGTTATATTAAATAAAATAAAAAACAAGAAACAATAAAATAATAATTGTAATAGATGAGTGTTTAATATTTTGGAGAAAATCGCGTATTCCTACACAGTTTTCTTTGGACTGTTATTAAATTAAAAAAATTGTATAAGAAATGGAGAAAGTTCGACAAAAATAAATCTAGAAAAACAGAAACACAAGAACAACATTATAATATTTTTTCTGAAGAATTAGATTACCTCTTTGACATTTCTTATATCGAAGCTCTGAATATGATGAGTATTGAAGCAGACAAATAGTTTTTATTGTCACAACTTAAAAATGGCCGCCCAGGGTGCATGCTTGGTTATGATATGAAGTTAACAGGTAATGAAAAACGTAAAATTACTCGACAAGAAAAAGATGATCAAAAGAAAAAAGAGAAGTTAGAAATCGCAAATTGTACAGGCAATTATTAAATATTACACAATAATTTCAGTACATTATAAGTAAGCAGTTTTTATATACCGAAATATTTTATTATTTAGCCGAAACTCAATATTATAGCAGCTCTAGCTCAGAGGACGAAGATATTGATACGGAAGAAAACGTTGAAGAAATGAGTCAATTACCTGGGCCTTCAAAAGAAGTAAATGCACTAGAAGATATATTTTGTTTTGTAGTTGAATGTTATATTAAAAAGTGATTTTTAGCTGCGAATATTATAACAGCTCCTATAAATGATTTAATGTTATTAAAAAAGTTATTAAATTACAGTAATAATAAACTAGAAGAAGTAGCTATAAAAAAATTTATAAACCATTTATATTTAAATGATGAGTGTGCTGTGTTTTCTTTATTTGACGATCGACTTGACATTAATACTAAACAGCGAATGGCAAAAAAATATTAAAAGGTTATGAACAGAGCACGAACGAAGAGCCAGAAGAAAATGAAAATTTTTATTTGGAAAGGATTCATAATTCAAAAAAAACTTAAATAACCTTTTTTATAAAAGATATCACGGTGATTAATATTACTTCTGTACAATTAAAATTTAAGACACTGGAAAAGTATAACTGAAAACTCATTTTTTTAAAAAATTAAATGAAACTGATTTTTCTTATTTTTACGAAAAAATATTAATCTTACAAAAAAATAATAAATTACCTTATTTTTTGTTCACATTGAGTTCTATAAAAATTGTTATTCGTGTTTTTGGCGAAACTTCAAAAATAAAGAGCGTACACTTAAAAAAAGAAAATCCATCCCATTTTTGAAGAACTTCAACCCCTTTGAGGCACGTGAAGGGGTTGACTTATTGTACTCAAATTTTATCAGTTTCACTTTTTCAGTGAACCTAACGAAATTTTGAGCCCATGACTCTGAATTTATGAAGTTAAAAAATAAGGACCACCCTAATATACATGTGTAATTCTATGTTATAAGCAGGGCCGGATTTAACGGAGGGTTTTAAGGGCACTTGCCCCGGGCAGCAGATGTTTGGGGGCAACCGGATGCCGAATACTATAAAAAAATTTTAAACTTTTTAACCCTCGGCTTATGAAAAAATCAACTTTAAAAAATAAATATTGTTTTGTATTTATATAATTTTGGCTGCAAAATTAATACCGATATACGTCATATGATAACATTACGACATTGGGACATACAGCACACATTGACCCCCTTACAAGGCATAAGGGATGCATTTAAAAAGTATTACATAGTTAATAATTCAAGAATAATGTGTAACTAAAGATAACAAAAAAAAAAATGTTTAAATATATTTATTCTGTAAGTAATTGAGTGGGTTATGATAAAAAAATCACTCTGTATATGTTCATTTGTGATTTAAATATTGTCTACTCTCGTTACTTATTGGATATACCATTAGCCGTCATCTCCTAGGTGACCCACTCCCGCATCTATAATAACGATTTAAACAGGTTTAAGGTAAAACGGCATTCTAGTGCGGTGCACAACTAGCCGTCCTACGGTCTAGCTGCCTCGTACAAAACAACAATGAACATTTTCAAAATCAATTTTAATTTTAATTCATCATAATTCTGATTTTTAATATTGATTTAAACTTTTTTTTTTTGGTTTCGAATTTATTATCAAATATTGACTATAGGGAATTCGAATTTCAAACTATGAAAAGAGTTCAGGCAAGTGGCGCTGCTAACCGAAAATTAAAAAAGCAAAAAGAAGAAAAAATTGAAAATGAAATTAAAAAAACAAAATGCATACCTAGTTTTTTAAGTCAGACTTATTACAAAGCGAAAATAAAGCTTCTGATACTTCTGAGACAATTATTAATCCGACATTCATGAATGATACTAGTATTGAAAAATCAACAAACATTAATGATACTAGTGCTGAAAAAATAGAATCTTTGAATGTCGAAATATTTACAACAGATTCTCAAATTTGTGAAAATGTTTCTGTCATGCTTAATGAAGAAAATTCAAATTATGTGGACAGTGTTTCGCGTCTTGTTAAATTAAATCAAATACCCTATTCTCTTCAAATTCAAGATACTTCTGAAACAGAGACAACTCAAAATTCTCCAATTGAAATGATGACTGATATTGGATTATGGCCTGAAAATATGTCAACATATGTAGATTATTGGATTAACAAAGGTATTATACATTTACAAAATTGCAATGAAGAGCTAATTAAAAAAAAATCTTTGGTGCAAAAAAATAGTACTGGTAAATGGACTCGTAAGTGTAACACTGGAATGTTTAAGCGAAAATGTAAAAATGGTGACTTAATTAAACGATCATGGTTATGCTTTTCTCCTTCCAAAGCCACCTTTTCTGTTCAATATGTAAATTAATGTCATCAACTACATTGCGTACACAGTTTAACACAGAAGGATTTTTCAACTGGAAAAATTCTAACGAACAACTTCTCGAGCATGAGACTTCAAAGAATCATCTCAATGCATTTATAGCGTTTAAAGATCGTTCAGTTATTCTAGGTCGTATTGATGCTGAACTTCAAAAACAAATGGGTGAAGAAAAATTTTATTGGAAAAAGGTTTTGACTAGACTTGTAAGTGTTATCAAGTTTTTATGCAAGCGTGGGTTGGCTTTACGAGGAGATAATGAGATTATTGGATCTCAAAGTAATGGGAACTATCTTGGTTTGCTAGAACTTATTGCCGAATATGACGAGTTTTTAAAAAAACATATTCAAGAAACCGGTAATTGTGGAAGTGGCAATACTAATTATTTATCCTCAACTATTTGTGAAGAACTAACTAAATGTATGCGATATCAAGTATTTAACACCATAATTTCGCGCATAAAATAATCAAAGTACTATTCCATATCTATAGATTCATCGCCTGACTAAGGTCATGTTGATCAACTAACTAAAACTTTTAAAACTTTTATCCTTAACTAATTCGATAATGAGTATTTTTTTATTATTTTACTGTAAGGGGCCTCAAAAAAAAATTTGCCCCGGGCATCCAAAAGTTTAAATCCGGCCCTGGTTATAAGCGATTGCTATAAACGCCAATAATCAATAATTAACTTGAAAGTATAACTGCATTTATTAAGAGAAATAATTATAAACTTTATTATGGGACACTATACCTTTTTCCATAATAAACATTTTAAAGTCTTTTTACTCACGGTTTTGTTACGGGATAAGGCCAAATGAAACAAAAATTGTATATATTTTAATTTCATAAGTTTTACTAAATATGTATTCATGTCCAAAACACGGCGCCTGATGCAGATGTACAAATTGCACCGACCTCTGACGGATTTTGTTATAAACAATAAAAATAAATGAATAATATTAATATTTTATTACAGCTATATTAACGAAAGTATTATCGCTAATAACAAGATGTCGAGAATTATTATTTTGATAATCAGAATAATAGAATTATTTAATTGCTTTCATCACTAATATTTTTAATACTCTATTAAGTAATGTGATAAAAAGCTGACTAATTTACCCTTAATTATTCACAAGCATAAATATATATAAGTATTTCTCTGTTTTTTCGTTAAAAAATATTGATAGAAAAATAGTATTTGATAAAATGTAATACATTAAATTTTCTAGGTTTTAATTGTATCAAAGTTGTGAGTATTTTTATCAAGAAAAAAAGAAAAGAAAGTCAACTTTCTTGATTAAATTATGAATTAATAATTAACTCAAATATAATAAAAAATCAGCTCCAAATTTTATAATATAATTGTATAGCTAAGTTATTAAACTATAAATATAATTTGTGTAAAACTTTACTAATTTATGCTTTAACTTAGCTTGGTGACTTTAGTTAACATTTAGGAAGCTATAAACTCAATTCAATAATAAATTACTTTTTTTTTAAATTTTTAAGATTGTTTTATTGATTATTTTTGAGTAGAACCTACTCTCGTCAATTAGGGCGACACTATTTCATTAATATGTACTTAATACAGAATGAAATTGCAAGTACATTTTTATCTAAAGGTACCAATCTAAGTTGAAGCATAAATTAGTAAATTTTTACACAAATTATATTTATAGTTTAATAATTTAGCAATAAAATAATAACACAGCTTTTTGAAGATGTTTTTTTTATTATATTTGACGTATTATTATTGAGTTTTGTTGGAATATCACACTTCCTTTTTAATTAATTAATTAATTATTAGGTTATTGCTTGTTTAATAATTTAATTAATTTTTTAATGTAATAGCTATGCAATACAAAATAATTTATAAAAAATACAATATTATTTAAAATTCAAGGGCAAAGGGAACATTCAACAACAGTACTCAATTAAAAATAATATTTCCTTTAAGATTATTCGGCTAAGGCAATAATGCGACAAAAAAACTATTGTTATTCGGGACGCTAGTCTTGTCGCCGACCAGTACATCACATGTTGTCCCGCAGTTTACATTCACGTCTGAGATTAGACTAATCGTTTATCAAATTTCTTATCAATTTATACATAAGAAATCTAAATTTCTTTTAAGATTTATAGTTTGAATAACTATTGTATTTGCATACATGGACGCCCATTATGAGAAGCAAATGGGAGATATAATATGAAAATGTTAATTTTAAAGCTTTTTATTGTTAAAATCAACGTAATATTTTTATTTTTAATGGTTGTCACTATAATTTATGTGATATAGAAATAAATAGGTATCAAAAAAAAAAAAGATATGTATAGCGAAACTTCTACAAATGCATGTAAAAAATTGTAATAACATAAATTGCACTCTTTCTGTCTATTACTACTAAAGGTATCCTAAATAGGATACATGACATATATAACATGATTCTATATAAGTCACGTTGCATAAGAGCGGATTTACCAAAAACATTTTGTGTTATTGTATTATTTTGTTATCTATAGGACTGGGAATTATATGTATTTAAACATTTTATTAAGTTATTCTGAACACATATTCAATACAAATTTTTATTAATTAACTTGAATACTTGGTAACGTGTAGCTACAGAGTTCATAAATTTTGATATGATTACGGGTATTATTCCCTCTAAATATAAAAATAGCTGTACGTCACTACATTAACTGAGAAGCAATAAGGTTTATGATCATAATAGTAACTTTTGAGGAAAAGTAAAAAAAAAACATTTTTTTTCATAAAGCTCTAGAACTAAAAATTTAATTTATTATTAATATTTTTATAAATATTATCTTTATAAATATTCAGTTTTGCATTGAAGCTAAAATATGTTTAAGTATTCAATTGCTTTGATAAGAAAACTACATGAGTGTACTAAAATTGCCTATACAACTCGCCGTGTTATTTTTTAATTGCCATTGAAATTTAATCACCATATTTAATCACTAATTAACTGGCAGTCTTAATTTAAGGCCTTACAATATGATGTACAAAAATTATTTACCTGCCTCATAATAAAATGTATGACAGTTTAGCTTTGATGTGAACTTGAGAAGGTATTAATTTTATTATGGTGTATGATTTGTTTGTCTGTCATAACATTTTATCAGATTCAAAATAGTTACTTTGTATGAAAAGTAACTTATTCAACTTAACTTTTGAAAATTTTCCGAAAATACAACGAGCATTAAACATATGTTAAATTAAAGCTTATAATATATACTATAAAGTGAAAAAAAAATTGTCTTAACATTTAATCTTTTGATGTAAAAAGTCAGCGTTTTTCGAATTATTATTTTCTATTTCAATTTTTCTTTCAACTATTTTATCTATATTTTACGATTAACAATTAAGTCTTAGTCCAACCCAACCCTTCCTTTGCAAAAAAAAAAAAAATTATAATAATATATATAATCTATTTAAGTGTTGTTGTAATATTTTAGGGGAGAATATTTGCAACATTTTAATGTCATTCAATATAAGAAAAGGAAATGTAAGAAAAGAAGCTGTCCTTACCAAAAAAGTGTTCTAGCTTCCAATAGTTTTTGACGAATTGAGGTAATTAAATACAATATGGTTCTTTTAATAGCCACTTAATTTCTCTTAAAAAAATAATTATTATAAGGAAATGTTTTAGAGGAATATATATATTTCTCTATATACTACATTAGTACAATCGATTGTTTCTTAAGAATGATAATATTTTTCTTGATTTATCTTTTGTTTATGAATTATGTAAATTATAACAGAAAATGATTCATCAATAATTTTTCTATATTTACTTAATAAGTTATGTGTATGATATATAATCTTCATAATATATATATGATTAACATACTCTTTAAAAGCAATTGGTTAAGTTGTAATAAGGACAGAAAAACCTATTGCTACAGAATCGAATCTCCATTCCTGTAAATTAGACAAATACATATTAATGTATAAGCTAAGTAAGTGGTCTAGCAAAATATTCTTCCCATGATATTAGAGGACCCTACATATAATTGACATTAATTATATATTAATAATTAATATTATTTATTTATTTTTTGTTGTAAAAAAAATTATAGTAAAAATAATTAAAAAATATTTTTTAGAATATTTATGATAAATATTATTTATTATGACTTGTTTTTTCTTCAAAATTCTTTTAATATTTTTGTCTTTGGTCAATAATTTTATGGTCGCATGATCATCAGGTGAGAAGGCAGTTGCGCCTCTCGAGCTACTATAAATATGCTATTGTCTGGGGTATATAATTTTAATGTCGGGAATTGTATTTTTATAGAATTAATTATCGAGTCAAGCCAAATAAATAAGTAAAATCTGTCCTCTAATTAACGTTTAATAGTGTACTTGACTAGTTGTAAGTATTACTGAAAAATACAAGGTGATTAATTTAGGATACTTTTTGGGAAGTTATTGAATATTTTCAAATTTTGTAAAGGAAAATAATGTTTGATTAAAAAAACCACAATATTATGTGTAATTAAATCATTTTTTGTTTATCCTTTGATGTAAAAAAACCTAAATTTTAATTTTTTTAACGGGAACCCCCATTTTTGCTTTGATAATATGTTTAAAAAAATGTTTAAACACATTTTTTTCTTATTATTTGTTTTAACCGATCAAGAATTTACGTTTTAAGATTTATATTTAAAATATAAATTCATCATTATTTAGTTTTCATTTTATTGGAGGCAACAATAATTTGTTTCAATGGGCCATAAATTATCATTGGTAATTATTCTTTTTATCTTAAGTGACAGATATGATAAAAATAATTGTCCATAAAAAATTTATAAGTAAAATCCATACTCTAATTAGTGTTAACTAGTATAACTAAAAAATACAAAGTGATCAATTAAGGATAATACACTAAAAATCTCATAAACCATTTCAGATCCTCAAGTGTAAGCCTTTTTTTTTGAAGTTACGAGCCAAAATATTATTTTCTATTTTTAAAAATATCATGGAACATCGCATTTTTCTTAGTGGAGTGCCCTTTAAATGATGTCGCTCTGTGTCGTCTATCGTATCTAAAGACAACAGGTAAAATACTCAGGGCGTATTGGATCATTTTTTATTTTGTCAGGAAATCACTTCCATGAGCCCTACTTGTTTAACTACAATAAACATATATATTCTATTTTTGGAGATTTAAAGGTCTCACCAAGAAGCTCATTGGAATTTTCCCATTATAACAGTGTGCCAGAACACCATATGCCTTACAACACTATTAAAAACTCAATTTTTAGAAAAAGTGTCGAAATTAGATTAAGTTTCGAATTAAAGGGGATATGTCCTCAATGCTTACGAATCGCTAATTATTTTTACAAACGTAAAAGCCTTAACAAATAAAAAAAAAAGAATCCAAGGAAAAGAAAAAACCAAAAGTAGCGCAACATAATTTTTAAATACTATTGTCCCAAACTTAGTATTTTTATTAATTTAACACACAAATTTATACATGATATAATATAAAGAATTTACTCAATAGTGTTTAATGCATTCGTAGATCAGAGCTGTAGAATACTCAATTATGAAAAAACGTATCATTTTGATAGGCCAATGTATTTAATTAGTTTACAATTGTCATAATAACCTAAGTGTGTATTTTGTATAGTATTTAGCATAACGGTATTATAATATGTACACGTTTTATTATGGTCCTGGCAATACAACACGGTTTTCGCGCTCTCTGGATTCAGATAAGCTTCTCAGATGCGATGCGGACATAGTGGAGCCGAACGATGCGTACGGCGGTTGACGTCACAGAATCACCGATACTAACCAACGGCGACAGGCCGTATAGAACGGGTAGGCCAATGTAGGGTAGATTATAGGCTCGTCGGCGGCACTCGGACGGACAACGAGCTTGGTCAGAAGCGGAGAATGGAAGTAAAGGGGAAGTGGTTGCCACTAGGTGCGCGTATGTCAAAAGGGAGGCGCGATACGACAGCCGCCGTCGCAGTGAACAATAGTGGTAGTAGTGTAGCTCTTGCAACATTCTGTGTACAATTATCTTATTCTTTTTTTCCCATTTTTTTCTGAAAGTTTTTTTATTTTGTTTTTTTTTTTCATTCACTTATTACACGACTTTGTATATCACAGTTACATCACATTTCATCAACGTCAATAATTAATCATCAAAGTATAAATGAGCGCGTTTTAGAGATTACCATAATAATTTCCTTGATTTGCTTCCGCGGTATTCGACCCCGTCGGTACGGACTCCGTTTCACCACTACCACCGCCACCATCACCATGTTACCAAAATCGGGTGAGTACCAAACATTTTATAATTATTGTTGTAACACAAACCTATTTACATTCTATGTGCGTGTGACACACTTGATTTGTTGTTAAACTCGTCATGTCATCGTGTCATTGTGCGATAACAAGTCGTCGTTGAATTCCTGTACACCGTTTAACGATTTCCATGATATAGCAATGCCTACAACATGTGATGTTAAAAGTTAATTACTTTTCGGCAAGTCTTATGTTCAAGTAACTCACTTGAAGCAATATTTCCCTCAATTTTAGTGCATTATCTTAACTTCATTATCTATTGGTTAATAACATAATAATTAACATTACTCAATAGGGTGGGTTAAAGAAATTTTTTTTATTTTATATTAAATTTAGGTATCTTTTAGTTTTTTAGTTAGTATTTTCATTGTGATAATTTTGAAATGTCCAATTTCTTCTGTAATAAAATAAATGTTCNATTTTCATTGTGATAATTTTGAAATGTCCAATTTCTTCTGTAATAAAATAAAATAATTCCATATAATATTAAATAAAAATAGAGCAGCCATGAGCGACCTACCATTTTTTTCATTCTGTAAATCTTAAATAACAACATATAAACTGAAAAAATGTATATTCTGAAGTAAAATTAGAATTATTTTTAATTTATTTTATCTAATATATGGTTTTTTTTTTATTTTTGTGTTAAATATATTTTTTATAAATTAATATTTTTATGAATTTTTAATTTAAAATAGATTTAGCCACGAGTGATCAATGTTCACTATATGTGATCATTAGATTATAACAACAGTGTAGGCATAGAAGAGGTTTAGGGTACATCGCCCTATAATGCTTTACTTGTGATTGAATACTTTAAAAAATAATGAAGTGGAGGTATATACATTCAACCCCTCCATTAATAATCTGTATTTTTATCTCTGGTTTATAATCGCATTCGAAAGTCGAATTTATATTAAATATTATCTAATAGATTTGTAGGATATTTTATTTTTCCTATTGAAATTTAAATTATCTTAACGTTCATAACTTTTTTAAAATTCATTTAGCCACTCAGTCCCAATTCACATCCAGACAATTACCAGACATTATTATTATTATTTTTTACATCAGACACGAGAACTAAATTAAGTTCAACATTTAATTAAATTACATAAAAAAAGTATTTTATTCAGATAATAACAGTATAGTTTATTTACTTACCTAGAGTTATAAAATGTTAATATTTATCAAAAAAAAAAAAAACATAAAATAAAAATTTAAAACGGAATCAAAAAGGAAAATATAAATATAATATTTATTTTTTTATAAAAATCAATAAATTTTTAAATAATAATTCTTAATATTACAGTTATTATATTTTAAATATAATTTAAACGCCATTTCAAGCAAAAAAAAAAAAAAAATTATTATTTTGAAAATGAACATGTGAATAATATTCATAAAACCATAAACTATTTAATTTGATTAAAAAAATATATATTATAGTATTCGTTGGTTACATTTCACCAGCCATTCATTCATACATTTAAGTATATATATTTAGTTAAGTATACTTATAACAATTGTTATAAATGAAGTATTTTTTTATGGTAGTAACGTATTCAATTGCGTTCGTCCAAGTTCTCAAATAAAATCGATATTCGAACAATGTCAAATTTTGAGTAGATTAATTGTTCATAATTGTAGAAGCCATAATACATGTAGAACAATGACAAAGAATACATAAAAGTTTTTAGAAGAATTAAATTAATACAAACGTTTTGATAAAACAACTATTGATATGGTTTTGTTATGTTAGTTATTTATTTGTATTATATCCTGTCAACTTTTTATTTTTCGAAAATTAATGAATTACTTCTTTAACTATTAAAAGAATTTCGCATGATATTTTTAATCGTTTCTTTTTGAATATAGGTCATGATGTGTGATAGATAGCAACTATGGCGGTGGGCACGTGCTACTGAAGCCCACCCCACCACAACCTGGAGCCCCTAACCCAGGCGTCGCTGGTGCTCACCATGGCGGTCGCCATCATCCTCCTTAATATCCTCATCATCGCTACATTCACCAACATACGAGGTAAATTTAGTTCAGTGATACGATGTTATTAATACATTGTATAAGAATTAAAAGCTTAATGATTGTTATTTATAGGTGGAGGAGAGGTGATGAATGTATACTTGGTGTCACTAGCTTTAGCCGACCTACTCTATGGTGTGCTCGTTGTACCTTTTTCCGTGTATCCAGCACTAGTCCAGAATTGGGTGTATGGTGATATCGCATGTAGTCTTATAGGGTATATTGAAGTATCACTATGGGCTGTATCAGCATATACCCTTATGTGGATAAGCGTAGACAGGTGACTTAAAATAATAAAATAAATGACAAATTTTCAATTACTTTAAGCCAAAATCCTGTTGGAAATTAATTATCAAATAAAAAATGATAAAATTCAATGATAGATCTAATATTTTTTTTAAAGGAGGTTATTAAAAATTAATAAAATTGTACTTATTTCATCGTTACTGTATTTTCATATATATTTAAATTTGTATTTGTGTGAATAAACTCCCATATTCTTTTATTTCGTAAATAATATACCTCCATAGATTGTTCAAAAGAAAACGAGGTTAAAATTTTAAAAAATCAGATTTTTTATTTAGGATGAAATAATCAAAATTATTTTTAAAGTAACATCTCTCGTGTAGAATATACTGGTCTCACCACACTTTCCATTTTTGGTACTCTTGTGAAAAAAATTTTTGTGGGAGCTGTTTGAGATACTCCTCGAAGTTGTGTTTTACATTAGCATAATTAGGATGCAAGATACGGTAAATAATAGGATTGACTTATTTTTCAGACATACTGTAGTGAGATTGATAGATTGAGGGAGCACATTGTGATACAAATCCAGCTTTGCACGACTTTTGACGCTTTGTTACAAAGTGTCTACCTAACTTTTCAAGAACTAAATTATAATGAGCCACAATTAATGATCGTATTGAGAGGTACAAATGCTGGTATAATAATCTTTTTGAAATAAAAATTATTGACATTTATGACATTAGGTACCATTACTAGGTGGGTTTTTCCTCCAAAAACAGTTTATGAAATCGAAAATCTGTATGATTTAACATATCTTTTTCTCGTAGATCTAAAGACCCGTTAAACTCCGTAAAAAATAATAACGAACAGCTTCTACTCGCAGTTTTGTTATTTCAAATAGCTATAACATGGTTGTTATCTTTTAAACACCGCGTGCTTAAAACACATAAAATTTCAAAATTTATATTGATCGTATGGAGCGTTTTAATTTGTTTACATACGTTTTATACGGGGTTTTCTCCAAAAATGTTTTTAACAACTTTGAGTTGTAGTAAAACCCTTACTTATGAAGTCAACAAATTATGCTTATTATGATGTTGTAAAAATTGCAAAAAAAATAAGCAAATAATCTAAAATAAGTAGGGTGCCACACGCTATAAAAATGGGGACCAAGAATTTAAGAAAGGAAACTGACTGACAAATGAAGGTTTGACCACGACCGTTTCTGTTATCATTATTTTTATATTCATATGGGCGTTATTGAATTTGTGTTTTGATTATTACTTTGTACATGTGTGTGGTGTTATACCATTATATTTGGAATACAATTATTATTTATAAACGTTATAAAGACTTATTACTCCTATTAATTTAATAAATCTCATTATTCCATTATTTTATTATCGTGTGTGGCTAGAGTTAAGGTCGGGTACTGGTCCTTCAGTTAATGCCAAAAATTAATGTGTGAGCTGGTTAGTCTCTGGGCTAAACCGTTATTTAGTTAGTAAAGTAAAAAGGTAGTTGTACTGGTATCTATAAAGGGTCACCCTTCAACCTGCTACTTTCGAACTTAACTGAGCTGACGAGTCTGTAGACTACTCTTTAGTGGATCACTAATTTAGCATTTAGCTGAACTACGTACTCTGACAAGTTTACTCGATGAAAGCCAAAGAAGCCCAATTAACATTAAATAGTAGAGATCGTTTTTTTTGTGTGCGTGTTTCGTATCTACGTAAGGCGAAGCCGACGTACAGCAGACTCATTTGCATGCCCAACTGAAGGGTCTACAAATCAAGTTTTACTTAAACGTCTTTCAAAAACATAGCGATTAGGGTATCGAACTGGTTATGGGTTTATTTATTGTTAAATTTTATTGTTACTTTTCAGATAATCTATCATCATCTACTTAACTTCTATCCTAAATATTTGGGGTCCACTCTACCTTTACCTAGTATTTTTACACCAGCTGTCGACCTGGTGTATCCTCATTATGGCTGAGGGAACCAGATGTTTAGATGCTAAAAAAACTAGTATACTCACCTAATAGATTAAGGCAGAATTGTCTAATCAATAAAAAATCAGTCCAATTCTTTTTCGAACACCCTTTGTTCATATGATAAAATTTTTTTCACACAAAACGGTATATTTAAAAAATAAAAAATTATTCGGTTTATAATGAATTTTATCACCATTATGAAAAATAACTATTACATTTAAGACATTTTATATTATATAACAAATTTATTTTATTTCTCAATGAATCATTTTTTATGTCTCTTTTTATTAAATAGAAACCGACAACACCGGCATCAATTTTGTGCCAGCGTTGTTGATCTTAAATTCGAATTTAATAAATGTGACTGATTCTTAAAATAATTACAACTTTGAATGATTTTGTTTTTAATTTTTTTTTTACATATTTATACAAAGATACATCGCGGTACGCAAGCCAGTCAGATATTTTACTGTACAAACACGAACTAGGTGTCAGTGTTGGATGGCATTCACATGGATATCGTCGGCAATGTTATGTTGCCCTCCTCTATTAGATTTTGATAATAAGGCTCATTATGACCCTGAAACTGCAGTATGTATGCTTAACTGGCAAATTATGACAGCTTATTCGGTAACGCTGTCCATACTCATATTGGGTCCCAGTCTAATCACAATTTTGTATACGTACATATATATCTACGGTGCCATCAGAAGACTACGTCGAGGGTTTTTAGCGCATGATAAGGTAAAATAAATGAGATATAAACTCAATGAAAATAAAATTTTGATTTAATCATAAAATTGGTTCTCAGTTATTATTTACATTGAATAATGTTAATTTATCTTCTGGTTAACTGATAGAATAAATTATTTATACAGAAACAATATCATTGTAATAGTTAAATATTAATTAATTCTACGGAAACATGAGAATTTATTTCATTTATATGTGTTTTATTTAGGAATATGTCACTGCACTTTCGGAAAACTTATCCAACCCTACACACGTCACTTCTTTTGTGTTAATTGTAACGTTCTGGGTGTGTTGGACGCCTATGATGTCTATTAAAGCGTATCAGCAGCTGGGAAATTCGCCCCCAGTACCCGCTCAAGTGTGTTTCTACGCCCTTTGGCTAGGTATATCCAATTCGATTTGGAAGGCATTTGTGCTCATCTTTCTTAGCCCGCAGTTTCGTGTCATGCTCAGATTACTATGTTTGACGGTGTCTTGTCGGAGAAAAAATCGCGCAGAACACGAGTTATTGCAACACGCCATGGAAGATCACTTCCTATAAGTTAAGTATTATTGATATTTTTCTTGTGATTACAATTATATTGTTAAACTTCATTTTTATTATTAATCGAATGTTCTTCCCGAGAGCAATCATTCGTCCATTTGTTAAAGTTTTATTCAAACTAAACAAACTAGAATAAAAAATGATTAAAACAAAAATAAAAAATAGCAACAAAGATAATAAACACTTATGCATAGAAATTTACTGTCAAACGAACTATTTCAAAAAATGATGGCTTAATTAGTTCATGATCATATATTATATTTTCTATACTAAAATAAAAAAAATTCTATTAATAGAAAATTAATTTTTTGTTTTAATGAAATAATGTGAATATGAAATAAATTGATTTTTTTAAGCCAACATTTCTAGATTTGAACTTTTAAAAGCATTAAGTATTAATTAAATAAACTTCGAGTCACATCATTCATTCACAGAGTTGGGCATAAGAAAAATAAGAACTATGTTATTAAGTCATGGATGAATTTAATAGGAAAAAAATATATTTAATAAAAACTGCAGGGCTTTCTTGTTGTTGTTACATGATTTAACTTATGATATTCGTTATTTTTTAAAATCATTAAAAAATTATCCCTGTATGTTAAAACAATATACGCAGTTAAATGATAAAGAAATATAAATTCATATCCATCTCCTGAAATATAAAGACACTAAAATTTTTCCTGGTTTTGTTGTGTTAGTTAAAATTTAGACCATGAATATATGCCAATCAAATTAATAAATCGCACTACATTTGTTTTGTTTAGTTTTTTGTATAATAGTTTAAGTAATTTTTACACAATAATAGTTTTTGAAATTGAAAAAGATATGCATACTTAACATAATATTTTTTTAAGTGTAATTTAATAAGATTTTTTGTTTCTTTAGTACTATTAATTTATTATCATTAACTAAGAATAATTTTAATTTTTTACTATAATGGATTGGGCCTACGTCAAAATAATGTAATTAATTGATTTTAACAATTGTTAGTTATGCTTTTTATTATCGTAAGTGCTCTAAACTCTTAAAATTTTTGGGAATAAAAGGTAAAAATAAGTTAACTATAAATATAAAATTTTTCCAGTGTTCAAATATCTTTGTTACAAATAAATATGTTATCGTCAATTAGTAGTTGAATAAATAAAAATAAAATTGTTACCCTGTTTTGTTAAACGCGTTTGACTAAATTAATTATAAATACACTAAATATATTCTAGTCTTGAATATACACATTATTTTTAACCTTATTTATTTAAATCTTATACTAGATACGAATATACAATCGAAATGTCTAATTATGGGCACTATCTCTATAAATTATGTACAAAAATATATATTTACCTCAAATACATAAACATTAATACAGAAATACTAGGTGGGTTGAGCAACACATTAAGTTACTGTTAAAAGAGTCAGCATTCTTTCAATAAAATCAACTATTATAAATAAATAATAAAAAATATATATTTGAAGTAAAATAGAAATATAATTTTTGGACGATACTTTACCACAAAATTAAAATTATATGGAGATAGTGTCCTACATAACTATAGGCGCAATTTGAGTGGTTTGGGAAGATTTAACTCCTTTAAAATTTCAGAAAAATAAAAAATATGATTATACTAAAAACAAATCAGAGGGAGGACAAAATTAGGTATAATGAACCCTACAATAATTGTGTTGTAATTGCGCCTTTGTAGATAATAAAATATGCAGTTTTTTTTTTAATTGCATTATCATTGAAATAATATACTTCATTTTTAAACTAACCCTTTCTACTTTTAATTCGATGATATCAATTTTATGACTTCTATTTTAATAGTTTTTTATAAAACATTTTTAAGTTTTCCATTTCATAGGGGAATATTTTTAGCTAAATAATATTTAAATCATTGTCAACAGGGTTAGTTCATTTTACTATTATTTCAAACCATATATTAATTTACTGTTGTTAGGGCCATAAATTATTAATTGTATGTATCATATATATAAATTGCATAAAAACGTAGGGAGAAATTGAAGCTTCATTATAATAGAAATAAATGTTAATTTATACTTTGGATAATCAACGAAGCTCAATATAAATTTTGTTTGTAGTTAGTCTTAGAGGAAATATTTAGTTTTACAAAAGTTACCAAAGAACCCTTTAAGTTAGGTTTTAGGTGCGCAGTTATTGTGATAGTAGCATTATTATATAAAACTAATGTTGTTGTATAGAAATTGTTTTCTTATTTATTGGTCATTTGTTGTTTAAATTTATCTCCAATACCTAAATGTTTAGAATATATTATAAGTTATATTTTAATCCGTTTAAAGTTAGTGTAAAATAACAGTAGCTCTGTTTATATTTAAACAATCATTTTATAAAACCATGAAAATTTCCACGTAAATTTACATTACCTAAAATAATATATCCATTATATGTTTTACAAAATAATTTTAATTTATAATTCTATCACACATTTGCTATAAAATCAAATCTTTTATCTTGTTCAATGAATTTTTTTTATTAAATTTTGGTATTATTCCAGGTGTGCGTTAATTTGAATAAATTTATTTGACTAATATATAATAAAAAAATTTTAATTTTGAATAGTATTTATATTATATAATCTTGAAATATTAAATGAATTTTATTTAAAATATTCTAGCAATCTAAAATTGATGACATTTTAAAGTACAAAACTTAATTTATCATTCATTGAACTTATTTACAATAATTTCAAATGGTTCATTAATTACTTTGTAAATGCTAAGATATCCTCAAGAAGGTTTAAAAGAGATGGAAATTAATATTAAATTATGAATTTTAAATATGTAAAAATGAAAGTATAAACGTTTTTGAAGTAATATACTATTTAATACAATTAAAATAAACTACAGAAGTTTTTTTTCTTACCACATTAAACACTACAAAAAAAAATAAATAAATAAACAATAGACATTTAAATATTAAGAATAAACTTGAACAATGAATGAGTTTTAATAAAATCATTATCGTAGATAAATTGCCCATTTTTTTCATCACTATAATTCATATTTGAAAAAAAAATTTTATATCTGTTCGAACGTGTAAGTCACTTTGTTAAAATTTATATTAATATTAACCATAAAATATTACAATAAACATTATTATACAGAGTGTCCAGTAAGTAAAAAAATATGAAAATTGTTATAAACAATGAGAAAAATAGAAACCTGTTTCTTACTTACTGAACATTCTATTTAATGAACTATTTTTATAGTTCCAAAGATATTTCTTTTGTCTAGTTTTTTTTTCTTAAGAAAATTTGTTAAATGTTATTCTATAAAACAAAATATTTAACAATTTTAAAAAGGACTTAATATTTATTGATCAATGATGATTAAATTATAATAATTACATTACATAATAACATATCATCTTGATAACGTCATGTGATTACAGTCAATCATTTTTCATTTATCATATATTTTCTTCTATGTTTGTACAATTTAATATTAGTGCTTTTGCTTCAACTTTTAATTATCTTCAAACATACTTATTTGCCTGAAGAAAAACGCTGTATTTTTAAGTAAATATACATTTTATTTTACGTAAAAAAACTTTCATGTCAAAGTCTTATCACTAATGGTTTTGTTACCATATTGTTACTAACTTCAGTACACTATTTCCGGAGACTTTAACGCTAGTCCATTATATACACATTTCTCATTACCTGGTGACTACCTCTCGCTCATCCATAATGCCTACCAACTCAGCCAAAACTTCACCACCCCTCACCCGTTCAACTTCTTCGTCGTCTTCAATCACATCAACAAACTTTAAATCTACCGATGAGCTTTTTAAAGCTATAACCCAGATCCAACAGTCACAAGATAAACTATTGGCGAACCATAAAGCTCTTAGTAAAGAAATAAAAGACGGTTTAAGCTCACTTACTTCTCGATTTGACACTCTCACTATAGAAATTAGAGACCTTCGTGGTAAGGTTGAAATTCTGGAATCTAAAGTTCTAACTCTGGAAACAAACACTCCTAAAACCGCTCCTCTCTCCTCGGTTACCGAAGTGATTCAAGAACTTAATGATCGCGAGCGGTGCAAAAATAATATTATTACTTATGGTATACCTGAGTCTACTTCATCAGACCTCTCTAATAAAATAAATGATGATAAAATGTTATTATCGGATATTTTTGCTAAATTTTCCCTCGAAAACACAAAAGAATTCAAACCAATTCGTCTAGGTAAACCTTCCAATAAAGGGCCTCGTCCTGTTAAAGTAATTTTTGAATCGCATGAATCTGCCTCATCAATACTAACGGCTTATCGGGAGGCCAAAACAAAATCCTTAAATCTTCTTCCTCTTACAAGCTTGGTTCGTGACAAAACTACCTTGGAGCGTCAATTACTTCGTGCATGTCATCTTGAGATGGAACAACGACAAGCTGCAGGTGAGACTAACTTAACAATATCTTATTCAAATGGCGTACCAAGTGTTCGTTCAAAAAACATATTCAGAGGACATCAACGTCCTCGAAGCTAGGTGATAAAAGGGACTCGTTTAACCTTCTCGGATATTATCAAAACTGCCGTGGTCTGCGTACCAAACTCACAAATTTTAAATGTAATACATCTTGTTTTGATTATATATTCATTGTACTCACAGAAACTTGGCTTAATAGTAATTTTTTCTCCCCTGAATTAGGTTTAGTTAATTATAATATCTACAGATTTGATAGATCACCTACAACAAGCTCTTTCGAAAGAGGTGGCGGTGTTCTTATTGCCATACGCAAAGACATTCCTTCCTTCCCTCTCTCTATTACAGAAAATAGTATTGAACAACTATTCATCCATTTTAACATTAACTCAAATAATTTTATACTCTGCGGTGTTTATTTCCCTCCTCAATCTCCAATTGAATTATACAAAACTNGTTTTGTTGTGTTAGTTAAAATTTAGACCATGAATATATGCCAATCAAATTAATAAATCGCACTACATTTGTTTTGTTTAGTTTTTTGTATAATAGTTTAAGTAATTTTTACACAATAATAGTTTTTGAAATTGAAAAAGATATGCATACTTAACATAATATTTTTTTAAGTGTAATTTAATAAGATTTTTTGTTTCTTTAGTACTATTAATTTATTATCATTAACTAAGAATAATTTTAATTTTTTACTATAATGGATTGGGCCTACGTCAAAATAATGTAATTAATTGATTTTAACAATTGTTAGTTATGCTTTTTATTATCGTAAGTGCTCTAAACTCTTAAAATTTTTGGGAATAAAAGGTAAAAATAAGTTAACTATAAATATAAAATTTTTCCAGTGTTCAAATATCTTTGTTACAAATAAATATGTTATCGTCAATTAGTAGTTGAATAAATAAAAATAAAATTGTTACCCTGTTTTGTTAAACGCGTTTGACTAAATTAATTATAAATACACTAAATATATTCTAGTCTTGAATATACACATTATTTTTAACCTTATTTATTTAAAACTTATACTAGATACGAATATACAATCGAAATGTCTAATTATGGGCACTATCTCTATAAATTATGTACAAAAATATATATTTACCTCAAATACATAAACATTAATACAGAAATACTAGGTGGGTTGAGCAACACATTAAGTTACTGTTAAAAGAGTCAGCATTCTTTCAATAAAATCAACTATTATAAATAAATAATAAAAAATATATATTTGAAGTAAAATAGAAATATAATTTTTGGACGATACTTTACCACAAAATTAAAATTATATGGAGATAGTGTCCTACATAACTATAGGCGCAATTTGAGTGGTTTGGGAAGATTTAACTCCTTTAAAATTTCAGAAAAATAAAAAATATGATTATACTAAAAACAAATCAGAGGGAGGACAAAATTAGGTATAATGAACCCTACAATAATTGTGTTGTAATTGCGCCTTTGTAGATAATAAAATATGCAGTTTTTTTTTTAATTGCATTATCATTGAAATAATATACTTCATTTTTAAACTAACCCTTTCTACTTTTAATTCGATGATATCAATTTTATGACTTCTATTTTAATAGTTTTTTATAAAACATTTTTAAGTTTTCCATTTCATAGGGGAATATTTTTAGCTAAATAATATTTAAATCATTGTCAACAGGGTTAGTTCATTTTACTATTATTTCAAACCATATATTAATTTACTGTTGTTAGGGCCATAAATTATTAATTGTATGTATCATATATATAAATTGCATAAAAACGTAGGGAGAAATTGAAGCTTCATTATAATAGAAATAAATGTTAATTTATACTTTGGATAATCAACGAAGCTCAATATAAATTTTGTTTGTAGTTAGTCTTAGAGGAAATATTTAGTTTTACAAAAGTTACCAAAGAACCCTTTAAGTTAGGTTTTAGGTGCGCAGTTATTGTGATAGTAGCATTATTATATAAAACTAATGTTGTTGTATAGAAATTGTTTTCTTATTTATTGGTCATTTGTTGTTTAAATTTATCTCCAATACCTAAATGTTTAGAATATATTATAAGTTATATTTTAATCCGTTTAAAGTTAGTGTAAAATAACAGTAGCTCTGTTTATATTTAAACAATCATTTTATAAAACCATGAAAATTTCCACGTAAATTTACATTACCTAAAATAATATATCCATTATATGTTTTACAAAATAATTTTAATTTATAATTCTATCACACATTTGCTATAAAATCAAATCTTTTATCTTGTTCAATGAATTTTTTTTATTAAATTTTGGTATTATTCCAGGTGTGCGTTAATTTGAATAAAATTATTTGACTAATATATAATAAAAAAATTTTAATTTTGAATAGTATTTATATTATATAATCTTGAAATATTAAATGAATTTTATTTAAAATATTCTAGCAATCTAAAATTGATGACATTTTAAAGTACAAAACTTAATTTATCATTCATTGAACTTATTTACAATAATTTCAAATGGTTCATTAATTACTTTGTAAATGCTAAGATATCCTCAAGAAGGTTTAAAAGAGATGGAAATTAATATTAAATTATGAATTTTAAATATGTAAAAATGAAAGTATAAACGTTTTTGAAGTAATATACTATTTAATACAATTAAAATAAACTACAGAAGTTTTTTTTCTTACCACATTAAACACTACAAAAAAAAATAAATAAATAAACAATAGACATTTAAATATTAAGAATAAACTTGAACAATGAATGAGTTTTAATAAAATCATTATCGTAGATAAATTGCCCATTTTTTTCATCACTATAATTCATATTTGAAAAAAAAATTTTATATCTGTTCGAACGTGTAAGTCACTTTGTTAAAATTTATATTAATATTAACCATAAAATATTACAATAAACATTATTATACAGAGTGTCCAGTAAGTAAAAAAATATGAAAATTGTTATAAACAATGAGAAAAATAGAAACCTGTTTCTTACTTACTGAACATTCTATTTAATGAACTATTTTTATAGTTCCAAAGATATTTCTTTTGTCTAGTTTTTTTTTCTTAAGAAAATTTGTTAAATGTTATTCTATAAAACAAAATATTTAACAATTTTAAAAAGGACTTAATATTTATTGATCAATGATGATTAAATTACAAAAAAAATAATTTTTTATAAAAAAAAATTCGTATAATTGATCTTTATTTTATGACTCAAATTTACCCCTCTAATTGTTTATAATATGTTTTCTTAGTTATTTTTATGTTTAATTATATCTTCATATTATTATAAATTGTTATTATTAATAATGTAAGTATATATTTAAGACTGAATCATTTTGTAGATTTCAAGTTAGATTTGTTTGTTTGAATTGTTAAAAGTAATTATTACAATTATTATTATTTACAATTAATATTTAATAAATTGATTATTTATTGTCACTTTCCGTGAAAAATATTTGTATAATATTATTTATTGTAATGATATCTTTTAATTGCTGCTATGCGTACAATGAAATGTTACTTGATATTATAATATTTAATTAAAAAATGATTGATTTGTCTCAGACTTAAACAACGCTTTTTGTGGTGTATTGAATATAAAACTAAAATCATGTACAAATAATTAGAGTATTTTAATAATTCATAATAGTGTACTATAATTTATAACATTTTTTTATAACAAATAGCCATTTACTGTTCACACCAAAACATAATAAACACGCAAATCCATTGTTCTATGATTAAGTTATATAAAATTATGCAATGATCTTAAAAAATATGTTTTGTTAGTTTTTGTCATACATTATTTTGAATGTATGTCATTTATATTCTTAATGCATTACTAGATTGATAATACTTTTGTGCCACCGTTTTATATGTAATACAGTTGTTAGTAATGTTTTTGAGATAAAATTATAGTACAAACAAGGTTTTTTCAATTACAATATAGCAAAAAGTCTTTTATTATTATAAATGATTATCAACACACGGAATTATTTAAGAATTTTTTTTTTAGATGCATGTCTAGAGTTTAGACTACAAGTTTATTTCAACATTTCATAATTTGGAAAGAAAACCTTTAAACAATTATAAAAAAAAAAAAACCCCAGCACAGTGGGCATGTGGCATAGTTGGGTCAAGTATAATGATATCTGCAGTGATTAAAATCACATTTTTAAAAAATTGACGAATTATTCCAAAAGCTACATGATCTCCTATTTCCTTATTTATATCCTGATTATAAGTTTTATGATTTATAAGTGTAATATATAAATAAATATCTCTATATATTTACAATACATAAATATATAAAGGGAAATTGTATTATTAAAAAAAAATAAAATATGTCGAATGAAAAAGGGATATAAATGTTATTTCTCATAAAAAAATTGTGTTTATCCATACACTTTTCAATAAGTTATAGCATTATAAAGTTAAAAATGTAAAAAATAAAATCGAGAATTTTCACACAAAAATATCATTCGGCGGTAGCCATTTTCACCGTGAAGACAAAATAAAGTCCGACATTTTTTTTTTCCATAATTAAGTACATTACATTAGCTTTAATTTAAGATATATATATATAAAAGTGTCAGACTTTCCGGAACACTTTCAAAAGTTAATTTTTTGAAAAAAAGTTGTCATTTTGAATCCCCCCTTGTGAGCAGGTAAAGAGTCAAATTTATAAAATATATCAAATGATAGGTAAAGACATTATGTAACTATTAAAAAAAAATTATATTGATATAATCTTTTTTAAAAAGGTTACACAAAATTTTGTTCCAATTTCCACGCTGTTCAATTTTATCCCCATCATATCCTAGTAAATCAAGTATTAGGTAGTAATATTATTAAATAATTAGCATGGATAAATAATATAAAAAAATTGTACGTATAAATCATTGAGTAATAGTTTTTCAATAAGAAAATTTCGTTTAATATAATTGTTAAATATAATTAGTTATACATTATAAATCCCAAAACAAAAATGTAATAGACCTTAATCAAACTCAAATTATGATGAAGTTTAAATAAATGTTACTGATAAATGGTAAATAGTAACTGTTATTTACTTAATATAATATAATGATACCATTAACACAGCAGAATATTTCCAAAAATGTCGATAATTAATTTAAAATGGACAAAATTTGTTTAGGCCATCTTTTTATAAGTACCAACTATTTAATCGATAAAATATAATAATATATTACAATGAAAGTCCATGATTGAACTAGATTATATTTGTAATCTATCAATAAAGTTATTAAGCAAAATAAAGACCATCTGATATAAGAATAAAAAATTAAAGTAAGTGGGAAAACCACTTTAAGGTAAATATTGAAATGCTTAAAAAATTCTCAATGCCTTTGCACATATACTTTGAATTTCGAATGAAATACAAAAAAATATTACAATTAAAATGTTTTAATTTTCTATTTTAGTATAATTATCACATTTTATAATACACATATCCGTTAAGGAACAGCGGCTATAACAAACGTTTTAACAAAAGTATTTATCTACATAGAGATAAATAAAAGGAAGAGAATTGATAGTCACGTTAGTAAAACTTGAATTTCTGGCAAGTGGTTAATAAAAAAAAATGATCAAATTGTACAAAATAAATTATAAACATATAAAGTATAACATACTAAAGTCGTAAGTTTTAAAATGATTTGAAAAAAAACTTTTTTTACGTTAAAAAAAATACAAATGACCATTAATTCCCAGGGTCAGGGAAATGATAATCGCGCCATATAAGTGAACATATATATAAACTAATAAGGTCACCCTATTTTAAAATATTTGAATAAATTAATTTTTTTATTTTACTGATATTTAATTAAAATAAGTTTGCAAAATAGAGTTGTAATCCTCATAACTTGATTGTTAATAAAATTTAAATTAAAAGAAAATAAAAAAAACGGTAGCACAGTGGGGTCGCAGCATAGTGGAGACATTGCATAGTAGGGTCCAGTATAGATTTAATCTGACAGTGATTAAAATCACTATCATAAGAAACGCTTCGATGCAAATCTGTAGATAGTGTTTAATTTTAAAAAATTGATGGATAATTGCAAAAGCAACATCAACTTCTATTAAAATAAAATACAAAACCCATAATTATCATACAAAAATAGTATATTTTTCAATATGGTAGCCATTTGCGTATAGAAGATAGATCGTCGGGACAAATTTTTTTTTTTCATTTTGTAGTACATAAAATAAGCTTTAATTTTATATATGTTTAAAGGACGCAGTATTTCCGGAACATTTTCAAAAATTAAGTTGAAAAAGTTATTTTTTGTAAAAAAGTTACTATTTTAAATCCTCCCAGTGAGCAGAATAAGTGTTAGATTTTCAAAAAAAATTATATCAAATGAAAGGGAAATATCTAAGGTTTCAATACAAAAAAATATTATTTTTATTTGTTCATTTTTGAAAAAGTTATGGCAGTTTTAAGTACAAAAAACATCCCGATAAAATGTAATTTTTATCGCAAACATTACATTTTTTTTTAAATTTTCGACAGCCATTTGCACATAGAAGATAAGATGTCGGGACAAATTTTTTTTTTTCATTTGATAGTATATAACATAACCTTTGATTTGATATATGTTTAAAGGACGCAGTATTTCCGGAACATTTTCAAAAGTTCAGTTGAAAAAGATCTATGTTTTTTACAATATTTTAAGTTTTGAACGCCCCCTATATAAGGGGAAATTGTCCAATTTTAATAAAAAGTATGTCAAATGAAAGATGTACTTATAATGTATTTAGAAAAAAAAAATTTGTGCTGATATATACATTTTTCAAAAAGTTATAGCATTTTTAAGTTGAAAATTTAAAATCGAAAATCGAAAATTTTAACACAAAAATAGTGTTTTTTTAACTACGGCAGCCGTTTAAATGTAGAAAAAAAAGTGTCGGGACAAATTTTTTTTTTTCATTTTGTAGTACATAAAATAAGCTTTAATTTGATATATGTTTAAAGGACGCAGTCTTTCCGGAACATTTTCAAAAATTAAGTTGAAAAAATTAATTTTTGTAAAAAAGTTGCCATTTTAAATCCCCCCCAATGAGCAGGTTAAGTGATAGATTTTCAAAAAAATGATATCAAATGAAAGGTAAATATCTAAGGTTTTAGTATAAAAAAAAATTATGTTGATTTGTTGATTTTTCAAAAAGTTATGGAAGTTTTAAGAAAAAAAAGTGAAAAAATTTCGAAAATTAGCGATTTTTAAATTTGTAATTTTTTTGGATATTTCCCCCATTTGCGGGGAACGAGGGAATTTTTTTCAATTTTTAAGGGTAATGTCTTCAACTAGATACGATTTGTGATCTTTTGACGTATTTTTGAAAGAAATCGGTCCAGTGAGAGCTGAGAAAAAGTGGCAACAGACATAAAAAAAAAAAAAAAAAAAAAAAAAAAAAAAAAAACACATCATAGTAAAATTAATACCTTCTCCGCTTCGCATCGAAGCTAAAATTAACTTAACTTTTAATGTTTTCAACAATGCCGTTTTTTTTTAAATAACATAGTAAACCGAAAAGTAGTATTTTGAAGAGTAAACTTAAAGAATAACTACCATATTTTATTTTTAGGGGCTTAATAACACTAGTAATCATTCTAGGTAGTCAACTGATTATTAGTTATGGTAGTTTTGGTGTAGACAAAGTGATTATTATTACTCGCTGACTATCATTCTCACAACTTCCCTTATGATGTACAGTTAAAACAATTTGTTTATCACTTAAGAATAATTGGCATTACATGGTTGTTGTATGTAGTTCAAACAAAATCCACGATTGCCTATATCGTTTGGCATTTCCACGGAATTTGTATGAAACGATAAACGAAATGGTCTAACACTGCCTAAAAAAAATGAAATTCTTTAACTATAAAATGTATCTAAGACATGAACTATGAAATCAAAATCCTCACTTATTACTGTCGTTGGAATAGTAGTATAATCTGTACTTAAAGTTCCACCACAGAGCCTGTCTACGCAAGTGTTCATACCCGAAGCTACCGGTCCTTGTTTACTTGAGACACAAGGAATAATAAGATAATCTGAGTTACAAGGGCTTGAACCAACGCTGCCTACATTTGCTTGGACTGCATTTTGGCCTAAAGTATTACCGGTTAACGTAAATGCGTGACTCCTGTTATTCACTGTAATTAAAAAATTAATGTTTTACTATTAATCGTAATCAAAAATATTCTACAGAAAAACCTCACTTTGATCATCACAAGTTGTATACTGTACAGAACAGAAATTTCGTTCAGTTCTCAAACATATTGTATAATCTTGATTAGACAAATGAAGACCTGAGTATGGATCATAATTAAAAGATTTAACAGTTCCCGATATCCCAGTGTGGTATTGAAGACAACCGCTGTCAGCTTTACAAACAATTTTTTATAATAATATTAATAATACATATTAAAAGAATGATATTTTTCTGATATTATATTTTACTGGTTACTTTGTTTCTAAATTTGAACTTATACTACCTAAACCATCATTATCCTACAAAAAAATAACTTTTTTGCTTATAAAACGTTAAAAAAGTACATATGTTTTTAACCATAATAATACACATTCAACGAATAACATGATTTTAATATAAACTTATTATGTTTCAAAATTATTTGGAATACTTGATAGATAGTAAAGAAATATTTATGTATATTATATTATGGTTTATTAAGTAATAGTAGTATTTTAAAAGTCTACGGGAAACATAAAAAATATTTTCATGTAATAATTTGTTTAATACAATAACAAAAATCACTTATTCAAATAAAAAAGTGATTTTTATAATTGGCTGAGAATAGTTAATAAAAATAAACAATTGAACTTACTGACTTAAGATTTTAATTGATTGGTATAATTATAAGTTATTTATTATTTAAAATTATTTTACGTTTTTGGTAGTAAAATAAAAATATTTAACTAACCTTTAGTAGTTGAATCACATGCGATCTGACTTATTTTTATTTTCCAATCTCTTTTAAACTGAATACCACTTGTTACTATTGTTAATGTGATTGGGCTCGTGCCGGTACCCGCATCAACATACACTGGAATATTTAATTAATAAATTTATTATTATCAATTCTTATAGCGACAGAAGAAACTGATAATTATGTTAATTAAGAGTTGAATAATATTGTAAAAGTATAAAGTTCACAATTATATTTTGTTTTAAAAATATATATTTACAGTTCAAATGAAGTTTCGATTATTTTAAAAGTAATTTTAAATATTAACTATAAACAGAAATAGTGCAATGTAGAGGTATGAGGGATGTGATATCTCTGATGAAAATTTGTTTTAAGTTTATACAATCAAGTAATTTTTATAAAATTAAATATTCAACAGATGAGAACTTTTTTTTTTATAAGTATATAACGTAGTAAATATATTAATCTGAAAAATTTCAATAGTTGGAAGCTCAAAANAAATTAAATATTCAACAGATGAGAACTTTTTTTTTTATAAGTATATAACGTAGTAAATATATTAATCTGAAAAATTTCAATAGTTGGAAGCTCAAAAGTAATGATTTTTTCTTTGATATATTAAAATTTTTGAAATGGTGAGTTTTTAAGTTATGAAAATTTTAGGGAAAACATTTGTTTAAAAAGTTTTAAGAATTTATTAAAATAATTTTTACATCACAACACTTAGCCATGTACAAGTAACCGCCCAATCCCAATCACATTTCTACATTTAATAAAGTTATAAAAAATGTTTGTTTGCAGCACATTAATAAATAATAGCAATCATTGAAATTGTTACAGTTAATTTGTGTAAATATATAAACAAATTGCTGTAGAATTTTACAATAATTTATAATAAATATTATCTTCGAGTTATTTATAGTTTTTATTTCGCCTATCAAATTTCTAGAGTACTTATTGCTATAAATTTCTTTGGAAAAATACATACTGTGACCGCCAGTGTTCATACCGCAAATTACTGGCACAGGATTTGAACCAGACACTATAAACTGATCGTTGTCACACTGATGATTTATGGGCTCAGGACCAGAAATTACAAATCTTTCAAAGTCAAGCCTTAATAGAAGACCAAAAGTTATTATAAATAATGATAACACTATCAAAATTCAATTATTTTTAACTATTAAATCAAATTTATAAATTCCCATAAAATATAAATTTATCAAATTCGATATGAAGCTGAGAAGGAATTAATTTTACAATGATGTGTTAATTTTATTATTTGTGTCTGTCATTACTTTTCATCAGGTCTCATTAGACCGAATTCTTTCAATGATACGTCAAAATATCACAAATTTTTATAGGCGTTTGCTATAGAAGTAACGAAACATGCAACTATTATACAATTTTTCATAATTTCTCCGTAAAATTTACAATATAAAATTATTGACTATCAATTTCATACTAAGATTAATTAATAATTAAAAAATTAATACATCTTACCTAAATTGGCAAATATATGGAGAAGCTTTATGAAGAGTTACTTGGCATGTACCAGTGTCATTAAGACTATTAGGATATCCAGTATTTACAAAATATGTACCATTTTCACGAATTGTTTGGCCACAAGTTGTCAGAGCTGTATATTTAAAATACATATTATTTTTATATCATTGAAATGTGGATATATTGATCAAGCAAACATATTTAGGTAATGAAAGGGAGCCATTTCCCTGTTAAAAAATTTCAAGGAACATATTTTAGAAGTATATGACTTTTTTTTTAGCAATCTATCTATTCTATCTTAAATATGCCTTCAATCTATCGTTAATTAATGATAGTTTATCTGGAGTGTAGGGAATGCATTGTATCGAGATTTTAAGATTTTTCGAGTACTCACACTTTTAACATGTTCAAAAAATTAGGAGTAAAGACTTTTATTTCAAAATTAGCTATACTTGATTATGTATAACTGAAAACGTATTCATCTTACTATACACAAAGGATCAAAATTAAAAGAAACAACAAAAAATTAATACAGTTTAAATTTTAAAGAAAACAGTTGTTTAAAATTTTATGTTATAGAATTTTAGAGTCTAAAAACTTAAAATCCAAGTTCGATACAATATCTTAATTTCTTTTTCATTAAAAAGGGGTCGTGGTTAAATATTCAAATTAATTCAAAATTTAAAACGACATACAAATTTATATATTTTAAAACTTTGGGTTTCCACAAATTTCAAATAATTCTATATTAGAACATTAAAAAATTTAAAAATATATAGAATTAAAAAAAATGTTAAAAACATTGAAAAAGCATAAAAACATCAAAAAGTTTTAAAAAAACCATTCAAATAAAAAAGAAATTATTACTCTTAAATAAATTATTTAGTTTTATTTTTTAATAATACATTCTTCCGTAATAATCTGTAGGATAATATTCCCATAGGCGAGAAAATTCTTTTGATTCATTACTAATACTTTTGATTACATTATACATTAAATCAGAGATTCTGAAACAAGCATATTTTAAATCGTTCCAATTTTTGACTCGGAACGAAACTTTTTCTAAAAAATGTTCTAAGCATTTGCTCCGAATCGAAACACTAGCTAAATATTATTTCGTAGAAATGTATCAGAATATTTCCATTTAATTCCACTGTTCTGGTATTTATTAATCAAATTCAATTATCATCATATTTCTCCATATTACTCTGCTTTTAAATTAACATTTTTTATTTTACAGTGGGGCACTGAAAAATCCGAAACCTTGAACCAAAGTATACAGACCCGCCTAATGAGCACTATACTTAGCCAAATCAAATATTTTAACAAATTGCTTGGTTATGATTAGATTTATTTTATTTTACAGTTAAAAATTCTTCAAAAACATATATTTTTAATTTTTTAATATGAATAAGCCTTATGACATTTTTCTAAATATTATAATTTAGAAAAATGTCATACCATATAATTGTCATAAAAACTAGTAATTTTAAAAACTTATTAATTGTTTAGATATTTATGCATATTTTAAAAAAATTATTTTTGGCGTAATTATTAATTTTTTATAAAAAATTTTTGAATTATACATAAGAGTTATAATAAGAGAAATAATTATATTGAATACATATAGAAATAAAAGCTCCATACATAAAATATCCTTATTTTTCTTTCTCGCCTTAATCCCAACTACTTGTGGTCGGTCACCCTTATCCTAAACTTTCACTTGTCGATCTCCCACATATCAACGCTCAACATAAAATAACCTTTTACTTATTAATTAATTTCTTATGATTTTTTATTGTCCAATGAAATTTTGTCTGAATTATTAAAAATTTTAACTGAATTATTTTAAGTAATACTTAAAATATTATTTAAAAAATGAAATAAATTTAGTTAAAAAAAATAACAACTTATTTTACACAACATGTGTAAAATATGTACAGTATGTGTTTAGCGTTGATAATGGTAACATTGTTTCCGAAATACGTATCCGCGACTTTTCATTAATTTTTTGTGGCTTTGAGTTTAATATTTTTTAGTATTTTAAATTAATAATATTTTTAATATAGTTTTAATTTTACTTAACTTATTTTATTAATTTAATTTTTTTCATGGTACTAAAAAATATCAATAAAATAGAACGGAATCGAAACATTTTCCAGAAATTTAGTGAACATATTTTATAAATTTCTGTTCCAAAAAAAAAAAAATTTCAAACAAAAGTATTGTAGCAAAGTAAAAGATCGGAATAATTTTTAGCATAGATTCCATTCTGAAGTAATCTTGGAACGGAGAAAAATTTCGAGTCCCGGAATAATATTTTTATTCCATTACTAATCTGTGCATATAATGTTTAAAAACATATATATATAAATATTGTTTATCAGATTACTTTAGAATAGCCAAATCTATGAAATAAATTTGTATTTTTATGTTTAATACTGGTATAAACAATTCATAGTTTTAAGAACTTTATTTGATTTCAATGTATGTAACTCTCCGCCATATGTACGTCATTGGATCATAAAAAAAATGTTTGTAGAATTAGTTCTACCAAATTTTTTTGCATAATATTCGACCGGTTTAAAAATTTAATTTTAATCTTTTAAACCTTTTAAAAAAACATAATTTTTTTTACTCACTAAATAGCAAAAAATTGTAATTTAATAAATACTTTGAAATTAATTATTTAACACAATATTTTTATAGTTATTGATAAATTTTATATTAATAACATATTTAAGAACGTTTTGGTATTTTTTAATACTCTAGGTTGTGAAAACCAGATATTCCGTTTTATACAGTGTACCGGGATTTGCTACGTGTTCCTCTAAATGATAGTTATAGAAAAAAAATAATTTACAGTTCTCAATAAACTATGGTTTATTTCTATTTTTGTAATTTTATCTAAATAATATCTACTGCAATTAATTTTCAAAACAATTAAATGTAAAAAATAATTTCTAATTACTTACACAAACAACAAACTCCGTAAGAATTGGCACAAGAACCAATAGGTACACCAAGATGTTGATGACATTCAGAAGATGTCATGCAAATTCCACTATCGCCAGACGAAGAGTAACAAGGTTCATTGTCAAATTGGACGATAGTGAAAAGAGAAAGCACTAATAGATAACAAAATACCAAATTCATTTAACAATGATCTACAGATATAATTATGACACTTATTTGAATAATTTCGGAGAGTAAATTAGAAGTCGTTATGGTTTTATACGTTTTAACTTTTTTTTTTATGACTGAGAACTTTTTTAATATAAACAATTTATTTTAAATTTAACATCTAAAGAAAAATACCTTTTGAAAAAACAGTTATTTTTTAATAGTGTAAATATTCATTTCTAAACATATTGCCCGTAAGAACTAGTTTTAAAGCAAGTTGATGCCTATATTGTCAAGAACCTTTATTAATATATATGAATTTTTACTACAAAGTATAGAAAATACCATTTTTATTGACATGAAAAAAAAAATCTTTTGGGTACTTTATCAGATAAGTGTCTTAATTACTAGTACATAAAATATTTTTAGAAGACCCTTTAGATAAATTAAAACATAATTGAGGTAAAACTTAAAACTTACATCGATTCTGTTTCTTTGATACAGATTGTCGCTTAGTTATTCTACCAAAACCATTATTTCTTTCATCGGACATTCTATTACTTCTAGACTAAAACAGATGATTATTTTAAGTGATTATCTAAAAAAAAGCAATCAATTCCATCAAATCTAAACGAAAATAAATGTGAATTTTAATAATAAAAATTTTTTTGTAATAATTGATCTAAAATAAATAGTTGTAAATTCAATAGGAAAAAGTATTCTAGGTTTGTAATACTAAAACAATGTTAGTGAACATTAACATTTTATTTCGTTTGAAAGCAGCGGTTTTCGTAACGTACTAGAAATAAATACACGAGTTAATGATTAACTAACAAAAAATTATTCCTAGTTAGTTAATATCGTTTATAAAACTATGATAATGATTTGCATCAAGTTTCATAATTAGAATGAAGCATTATAATTTCAATTATAGCTAAATGTACTTACATTATTAAAGTAAACATTATTTTGTAATGTATCTAAGGATAACATATTTACTGGAATCGCAAAAATAAAAACACACAAGGAAGCATATGATTGCATATTTGGTTGATAACTTTAACAAAACACAATTAAACGTTGAATTATAAGCTAAAACTACACGACTCCTATTAAAGATATTCAAAAAACAATTTGAAATTTTTTTGTGTTCTGCATAAAGTATACATTTTACTCAAGCTCTTTGTGTGGAAATAACTTGTATTAAGCTGAAACATGAGTTTTATATAAAAACAAACCATTTTACTACCTGCTATTGTTTATACTATAATAGCATTATGATAGTAAATCATATTTTCACTGTCCTAAAACAATAGTTTAGGATAGACTCGTTACGCACACATAAACAATCTAAATCGTCACTACACATATTCATAGTTACGTTGGTGAAAATTCTCACTAGAATAATTTTCCACGACACATTTCACGCAACGACTATTTCTTTTTAATGATTTTTTAAAATCATATAGATATATTGTATAACACTATATCCTCTGTAGTTAGACATTGACAATGCTTTTAAGTTACACTTTATAACATTAAAAATATAATTACAGACATTTTCTTATGAATTATACAACAGTTATATTAACTGATATAAATCACAATGGTTATCAATTATATCACGTTTTGGTTCAAATAGCGCAAAATAAAAAAATATATCACCTTATAAAAATACTTTTCAAATATAATTTGAGAATTTTTTTATTGCTTTTATTTAATTATAGCATTAGATGTGACATAGTTTTCATGAAGTTTTTGTTTTTTTATTCATGAGTGAACTATAGTCGGCTTAATTTTCATAAAATTTTCAACTATAAGTATAGTCAAGAAAAGAGCACTTACGAGACGAGGATATATTTTTAACTTTGATGAGAATGTATTTATTTTAAAATTATGTGTTTATTTTTTTATTAGTATCTATAATTACTTTTTATGAGGTCTCACTTGACCAAATTCTTTCAACGATACGTCAAAATATCACAAATTTTTATAGATGTTTGCCATAGAAGTAAAGAAATTTGCAACTATTATATATCGTATCTAATTGAAGTCATTGCTTTTGAAAATCTAAAAAAAATCTCTATTTTCCTTTAACTGGGTGAAATCTCCAAAAACTTTTGATTTTTAAAATCGGTAAATTTTGACATTTCTTAAATCTATCATATTATATTGAAAAACAAAGGAATTAAAAATATTTTTTTATATAAATACCTTAGGCATTTCTTTTTAATTTGGTATAGATTTTTGAAAATCTAACCCTTAATCTGACCATAGGAGGATTCAAAGTAGCATCTCTTGCACAAAAACTTTTCCAATTTAACTTTTGAAAATATTTGGAAATACTCCAAGCTTTAAACATAATAAATTAAAGCTTTTATTACGTACTATAAGTTGAAAAAACAAAAAATATTCCGACCCCTATCTTATATGAGCTAATAGCTAATGTAGTTAAAAAAAATTCTATTTTACGTAAAAATGTTTGTTATACGTTTTTATAATTAAATTGAAAATTTTTATATCTGTTTGAAAAATAGATGGACTAATACAAAATTTAAATAAGTATTTTTTTACATTTTTATTTTTTTCGGAATACTTTTTTAAAAAATCGAACAATTTCTACTTATACAAAGAGTTTAAAACTTGAAAAATATGTATACAAACTAGAATATCTTGCAAAAAAAAATTTATATTGAATGTTTAGTAAGTAAGAAAACGGGTTACTGTTGTTCTCATGGTTTGCAACAATTTATCTGTTTCCTTATTTACTAAACAACTGTTTACTAATTACTAAAAGTTAGAAAAAAAAAGTTGTCCTAAGACCTTGTCTTCTATATGTAAACCCAAAGTTCAAAAAAAATTCCTATTTTTAGTTTTGATAATATGATAGTAGAAAGTTTTCAATAAATTTTTTATAATTTGTTTCAACTGATAAACTGTTTGCGTTCTAAAATTTAGATTTTTAAAAAAATTAGTTTTTATAATATCTGAAGCAAAAGTAATCTGTTTCAATGGCTCATAAATTATTATCGGTAACTATTCTTGCTACATTGACAGATATGATAACAAGAATTGTCAATAAAAACTTGATTATAAATCATCATGAAAATATGATGACTATGATGAAAATTGATAGAAAATGCTTATTTTTAACAAGTAATCATAAAAGAACGCTTGATCAAATAAAAATTATTAAACAAAATTATTTAAAAAAAATTTTTTTATCATATCATTAAACTAAGAGTTCCATTAAATATAATTAAAGTTAAGATTTTTAACTCTAAATTAAAAAGATGAAATTTTTTTTTTCAACTAATTATTATTGTAGGGTTTTTGAATCAAACAACTTTTTCCTTTACAAAAAATTAAAAAATGTTCACTAGTTTCCAAAAACAAAATATATCTTATTCTTAAATGATTATTGTACATGAGTTATTAAAATAGGTCTTATATTTCAATAATTATTACAACAAAAAAATGAATAAAATAATTAAAAGTATAATTCAATTGGAACATTGGATATGAAAACATATTTCATAAAATAACATTAACTCTGTGATGATATTGTAAAACTATTCAGTTTTTTCATTTTATATGTAGATACTAGAGCTTTAATTAGGTACAATAGACCAACGCAAATAGAACATACTGCATACACAAAAAACTGAAAAAATTGTTTTATTTTGTTAATAAGTTGTGCCTAATTCAACAAAAATAACATGAATCTACCATTTTAAACAAATGATATTTCTAAATAAAATTTTTGAAGATGATAGGCATTTATTAAGGCACAAAAGTTGAAAAGGTTATTAATTTGCTTGTCAAATTATCTTAATGATACAAATATTTATAATAAACTAGATACACAACTATGAAGATGTTAAGAATATGTACTGAAATATAATCAACTGCTAAAGGCCTTACTTATTTTTTATTAGTAATACAATTTCATCATTAAATCAGTTCTTAAAACAGATATATGTATCTATATCTGTTTTAAGAACTCACATAAATTTTCAAATATTATGTTGGAAATATTGAAATATTGTGTTTTACAAATTTTTAAATTACATTATTATTAATAAATATTAGGACATTAAACAATTAATAAAAATGTTTACTCAACATTTTTTGTTCTTTTTCAAGAATTTTAAAAGGATTACATACATGTTTTGTAAAATCAATAATAAAAGAAAAATACGATTAAAAATCAATAACTATGTAAAAAAATTAAATATTTAGGTAATTCCAGAAAAGTTTTCTAAAGGTTAAGCTCAATGGTATGTTAAACATATTAACCTTTTGGTATATATCACATTATTAATTTAAAGTTTTTAAGTACATAAAACATAATGAGTAGAAAATTATAAAAAATAAAAAAAAATATTTCTTTAATGAAATTCTAGTTACATTAAGGTGTATAAGATATAACAAAAATTTAATATCATACTTGAGTTCTTATTGTTAATTTAAGCCCGATAGAGCTGTTTATTATGACAGTCATACACGTTTGAATAATTAGTGAAATAAATGTGTTAACACCAAACACCAAAGCATAACTATCTTCTGGTATGTTTCTAGCGACTTCACAACTAAAATTAATATTATATTCAATAAATACTTTTTGCTGAAAGTAAATTTAATAACAAAATGTCTTTTAAATGCGACTCATTTTATATGTACACAAATTCAGATTTAGACCTTTCTTTAAGAGAAACCACAATAATGTTTTAATTAATCAATTATTTTTTGTTCCGTCTTAATTAAAAATGAAATACATACTTTGCTACAGTTGCCATAACATGATAAAATGTTCCATAAATTATATATCCAACATAAGCATGAGATAATAAGTGTTCCTGAGACATTTTTAATAGTAAAATGCCTTGGCTTAATGTAAGAACACCAATTAACCACCAAGATGGAATAGTCATAACTCCAACTAAATAAACTCCTAAAGTGCCTAAAATATAAAATAAAAGTATTGTTAATGAATTAAAATATTGTCAACTTTACTTTATTTTATTAATTAAGATATACATTTCTTTGAGTATAAAATGAAAATTCTGATTTTTACATAGTGTGAAATATCTATATCATTTCAAATTAAACTAAATAAAACTTATTTCATGTACTATACAATAAAAAAAAAAAGACATCTAATGTAAAAAATCATGTATTATTTAGTAAACATGATTAATTTTTTATTATATTTATTTAAAATATTTTTTATCTTTAAGCATATACATTGTCAGATATCAATCGTTTTCTTCTTTAACCTCGCCTTTATCCCAACTACTTGGGATCCGCCACTCTTATCCTAAATTTCCACTTGACACAATCTCCTCTCTCGGTACTCTAAAAACCAAACTGATTCTTTGTTACTGATGTTTCTCCTCTTATTTTTTGCCTATTTCCTTTTTCCAAATCTTCATAATATGACTTATAAGCTTTATGCTTCTATAATTTCCACACATCTGTATATCTCTTTTGCCTTTAAATATCGGCACCACAATACTATTCCTCCATTATTTTGGCATTTTCCCTTCTAAAAGAATTTTATTCAACCATTTTATGCCAAATTGCCTAATATTTTCAATATTTCTATCATATGATCCTACTACTTTATTCTTTTTTATTGATGCCACAGCCTCCCATAACTCTTTCTCACTAATTAAATCTACTAGTCCCTAGTTATATGAGATATCCTCTAATATTTTTTTGGACACTCCTCCTTCAGTAATTGGTGAATCCTCATTGTCATATATCAATAAATACTAATTTAAAAAATGCATTGTCATCTCTAGGCAGAATCTCATCTGTACTTAGTTTTTTTAATATCACTTCAATTTCCTAAACAGCATAATTGCATTTACACAAGCTTTTTAATAAACTTAAAATGGAGGTATAGCATTGATTTTGTGAACTATAGTTTTTTAAAAATATAAATTAATCTTATAATAAATTATATTGGCTATTTCCACTATAATATTATTAAAAAAGGTTGGGTTGGCTGAATGAAAAAATTATAATAAATAAAATTAATCATAATATATTAGAAGGACAGTGTGGCCGAATCAGTAATGAGGTAGTGCTTGACGCGCACTATCACGTTTTCAAAACTCAATTAGGTATCTTCATTTGCCGAGCAAGAGATCAGTAATTGGAGTCGCCATCTCTCTTTCTTTCTCTCTCTATGGCTACAGACTAACCACCCATCCCAGAGTATCAATGGTTAAGAAACCTTTTCCATTAGGGAGATTGCTATAGCCTTTAATGGACTTAAAAAGCATTAAAAAAAAAAAATGTACAATGTATTGTTTTAAATATTAATCTCACTAATTATAGTATAAACTGCTTCCACGGAACCATTATCAGTTATTTTAAAATCTGTCCCTTCATCAGATATTTCTTGCCATAGTGATTGAGAATATGACATAAACTAAAAATTATATTTGGTTATTATATATTTATTTTAAATTATTTTAGTAATAAGAAATACCAATACAAAAAATTAATAAACATATAATAAATTTTAAAACATATGACGACATTCTATGGTATATTTTACTAAAAACTATACTTATATAGACTGACTTACAATTCAATCTAAAATACATGTTTAAATAAAACATTATATATAATATTCACACCTGATAATACATGCTGGTACCTATTGCCCACCAAATGGACCATTGAACAACATAATTATTCCTAAAAGCTGAATTAAAGTCGTGCCATAACCTTTGGCATGCAGTTTTAGGGGCAGGAAAGTTTTGATCTAAAATTAAAAACTCAAATTTTAATTTGAACGAATAAAATAAATCACAGAATAAAAAGCAATATGTTATAAAATAAGATAAAATAGATTTATTATTCTTTACAATCAAACAATTTTTGTAATCTATAATTTAAAATTTATAATTTGAGTAAAAATCAATAGACAAATAAATAAATTTTACTTGCAATAGAGTAAGACAACACTTCTACGTACTATCCTAGTATTTTACCATTTTTAAAGGATAGTGAAATATAAAAAATTTTAATTTGTCTGTGTACTACTATGCCATTTCGAGATCGATATGTATATATCCTAAAAACTTGTTGCTCTATTTTTAAAAATTGATCTTTAAAAATAATAACAATAAAAGTGGCATGATTATGGTTTTTGTCCAGGGTAGGGATAAAATAAGATTATATTTCATACACATAAGAAAATTATTCAATATCCTCCAAACAAAAACGAATTTTATCTTTACCATTTTTGTCACGTCACACCCATACTCCATCCATAATTACGCCAGTGGACAGTAATAAAAGAAATTATCAAACTATAATAATACTATGTATTGAAAGCTATAAAAACTATGTTTTTATTTTATTTTTTTTAAATAAATTAATAATTTTTAACAGCAAAATTTAATTGATATATCCTTTTTTGCATAAAATATTCTTGAAAATTTTACTAAATTGACCACTGAATAAGTTTTAATTTTGTTTATAGATTTTAAACATTCATTGGGCTGCATAAACACAAAAATAAAAAAAAGATAAAATTAAATCTAATTGGAACAAAATAATTCTTAAAAAGTGATTGTACATTAAAGTGAACAAGAATAGATCTTTTTTTTTTAATATAAAAAGTTGATATTGAATAAATATTAGGAAACTTATCAGTGTCACCTGGTGTGTTTGGCATAACTTATAACTATCCTTTCAAATTTATTTGAAAATATAGTTCAAAAAAGTAATAAAATTTAAATTAAATTAGAAATAAATTTTTTTGGGGAAGCCTATAGCTTCTATTTTTATATTATATATTCATTCTATAAACAGATCACAGGATATGATTATCATAACCCACTTAAATGATCTCAAAACAATTTCAATTATGGCAAAAGTAACTTAATAAACAGAGAACAACTACAAAATCTTAAACATTTATACAAAAGGCTATATTGAGTGAAACACCATAACTGAGAAAGAAATGTTATCATAAATGCACAAAAATGATATGTCTGTACCCAGTGTTCTATTTTATAATATCAATAATAAAATTATTGGCATTTATAAAAAATGTTTTCTGACCATAGCATAAACAAAAATAATTTATTTATAAAAAAGTATCTTGAATATTATAAAATAATTCATTCTCACTTGTTTGATCACTAATATGAATATTTTCAGGGTTATGGTGAAAATACAAACTTTTTTTTACTGGTGGCAAACCAAAAGCCCATATTAAGGAAAAAAATGCACCTAAAAAAGATGAAGTTATTAAAAAACAAATTTTTTTTGTTACTTAATAAAGTAAATTTGTTACATAACTGAGGTTTAAATATTTATTTTAAGTAAATTATTTTTTTATATGTTAAAAATTTACTATAAATTTCAATACAAAACAAAATTTATTTGGATATTTGTACTCATCATTAATTATGGGACTAGTTTACACATGCTGATTGTACAATATAATACTTTTATCCTAATATGGTAGTGGTATAAATATTTATGTTTGTCATGAACTGAAGTCATTTCTAAATTTTAAAAAATTAACCTTGAATTCCTTGATTTGATTTTAAAAAAAATGAAAACTTAAAGAAATCCATTGCATTAATGTATATTGACAGAAGTATTACATATATTGATTTTGTTATCAAAAATAATTTATTGGTAGGTTTTAAAATATTTATTGGAAGTAAAATTTCATCTTGTATAACCCCTTCCCTTAAAATGTATTTTGATTTATGAATTTTTAGTAATTTTTAGAAAAAAAAAGTAATCAAAATTATTTTTATCATTTAAGTGACAAATAATTATTGTTTTTCTTATTAAAAAAAATTTGGTTGCACCACTGGCATAGTAATTGATAGTTTTTAATTTAGCTCTTAGTTTCAAGGGGAATTTAACTCTAAATTACCTAAACTAGCCTCTAGATACAAAATACAAATTTTTCCTTTCTTGATTTTTAAAAAATGAAACAAAATAATTATTATTACAAAGAAATTTTAAAGAAACTCCTCATCACAGAATTTATCAAACAAATCTTGAATGTATTAAACTTATTTGATGTACAAATTTTTTTTTTTGCCTAAAATTTATTGAAAACATGACTATTATATCATTTACTTTATAAATTCCTTTAACCTTTAAATGATATGAAAAATAATTATTAATAAAGTAAAATTAATTTTTAATTACTTTTAATTAGAGTTGCAGTAATTAGTTAAAAAAGAACATATTGTTAAGATAAAATAATTAATAATTAAGATAATTGTTAGTTAATTAAAAAATCCCAGAACTCATAAGTTGATAGCAAAAAACACAGAGGGGTACAAATTTGAGTTATCTAATTATTAAAATTTTGAACTTTTTAAAAAAATTTATTCTAAAATTTCTATGTATATATGATGTAACTAAATTTTATCACTGGATATTAAAAAAACATTTACAATTATAAATAGAACAATTTTAACTCTAAATAAGTAAAAGGGTATAGTGACATTTTATTTATTTCTTTATGAAACTATAAAAAAACTTTTATTCTTGAACACAAATTTAATGCCACATTTGCCCAATAAAATTTAAAAAAAAATTATTTCATTCATTCTTCATATTAACATATTTTTTTCAAAAAAATTGACTGCCAATCAGTTTTGAAGTTGTAACATTAACAAAATGTCACTCCATAAAATTTTTTAATGGCAATAAAACATACAAACTAAAATTAACTTTATACTAAAGGTTCTTGAGCAGATATTATATTATATTATAGCATAATATTTTATTTTCACAAAAACTATTGCTTATGCCTTTTTAACTATTAAGACTGGACATTATGATACATAAATAATCAAGTTTGAGGAGATGTTCAGAATTACTTATATGCAATTTATAGTTGTACATAAAATCACTATTCTTTTTTTAAACCTATTGGTATGAGTAAATAAAATAAAACTTTTTATCAATATGAAACAAATTTCATTGTCTCCCACAGTTTCAAAGTATAAACTTTTTTTCTAATTAAAAATAATTTATAAATAAATAAAGTACCTAATAATGTTAAATAATTCAAATGTGGTATTGTTAAAACACTATTGTCAATTAAAATTTGAGCAAGTATAGCTGATATAAGTCGACCTAAAAGACAGGCCATTTTCATATGACTAGAAACCTTTTTGTAATGTTTTTTCTCCACTTTAGAATATATATATGTGTAATAGGCAACTTCACAAGCTGTCATTGTGCCATAAAAAACTTCCATTACCTAACCAAATAAAATAAAAAATTATTTAACCAAAACTATTTTAGGCATTTTATCTTCATACACATGTTAAGATATAAACATAAATACCATCATACTAGTAATACTTCTAGTATAAATTAATAATAATTGAGCAATAACACTAGACATAGCATTTAGTATCACAATAGGTTTGTATCGAAGGTAATCAGTAATCAGAAATACAATAATAGTTAATCCCAAACAAGTGTATGTAGAAACAGGATATACATCTTGAATAACCTAAATCAAACATAATAATAAGTCAGTTTTTATAAATCATAACTTAATTTTTTTAGATAAAATAAAAACCAATTAAACATCAATTAGTTTTTAAAACATTTAAAAATAAAAATTACAAAATTGCCTAGAGTGCATAATTTTAAATTAATAATCCAAATATTTAACTTAGCCAACAAACTGAGGTATATGTAGAAATTAAAATTTTATTTTATAAAAAGAAATAAATTTTAGTCTAAAAATTTGTAGTTACAAGTCTCAGCCTCCTAACATTTAGTAAAAATTTTCCCTGTTGTAATATCTGAGTTAAAATAATAGTTAAAAATATATAAAGGACCTTGATAAACAATAAAAACAAATTTTATTACATTTTTTTTTTACACAGATATAAACATACTTCTTCATTTGTAAAATTCATTGGAGGATGGGTCAAGTATTGAGTGATATAAGGATCTTCCGGACGAAATTCTTTGAAAAATCCAAACATGGCTATCCACATTGATTGAAGAAACCATTTTTCCATTTTACTAGACTTTATTTATTCCAATTTTAATGAGATATGCCAATATCATTTAAAAAACTGGGCCATACTAGTTTTTTTCATTAATCTATTCCGATAAAGATGTAAGAATTTGCTGTTAAATGGATTAAATATTAACTGTAAAATTTCGATAAACCCATACTTAGTAATACGTGATAGTTGTTAATATTTAACTCATTGTGTAGAGTTACAATGAAACTAGCACTTTATAGTTTTTCTACATATTAGTTCCTAACTTAACACTTGAGGCGGCACTTTTAACAATTGTTATGTAAAAGTTATACATTATCTATATAATTGTAGTACTACTATAGATAATAGAAACATACATTGTAATATCTATACGTACTATGCATAAAATAGTCATATATACATAAATTTATGGTACTACAGTAGTTCAAAAAACATATGTATATTTTTATCATTATTGATAAAATTTACGACCCAAATCAGTTAGATTTGATTCTAAGAGTAATATTCATAAGCGTAGGGTGGTCAATTATTTTGGGAGGAGGTTAAATTTAATTGTTGAAAGAATGAATAGTTTTGATATTGTATCAAAAATTGTGATGTTGCATTATGACATAATTTAGACATTTTTCTTGTTATAAAAACTCGGATTACACAATTTATTAGTAAAAAATTCAGCTGTGTTTGTTCACTATTAATGGTGGGTTACGGGGATTGTCATAATGAGACTTATTTCAACAAAAATTTGTATAATAAAAATAACTAAGTTAGTTCGAAAAAGTGAATCTTAACTATTCATGAAAAATAAAAATAATTTTGACAAAATTAAAAAAATAAATCATTTATTTACATGATAAACTAATTTAAAGTGTCAAAATTTCAATATTCACTAGAAATTTTCGAAATTATAATATTTTCTAATACAAATTAAATCGATACCTTCTGTTTAACATGGATTATACCTTATAATAAATTATACATTAGAAATATTATAAACTAAGTAGTCAAATATCTGTTAGTAGCTGAGACTAAGTAATTAAGTTTGAAAAAGTTTTTCCCAATAAGAAAATATTGACAGCTTTTGGTATTTAAGTCTACATATTAAAATATTACTGAAGTTAATTTTCATTTTATAGTATTGAGAATAACTTAATTTTGGTCAAATTCTATTTGACATTATATTTACTTACAATTATATAAAAAAAAAACCGGTAGCACAGTGGGAACGCGGCACAGTGTGGACGTGACATATATAGGACAAGTATAGATGATATCTGACAGTGATTAAAATCATTATCATAAGAAACGCTTCGATGCAAATCTGTAGTGTTTTAAAAAAATTGGTAGACTATTTCAAAAGCAACAATAAATCTTATTCCCTTAATTTTATCCCGAATAGTTATTTGATTTATAATTATTATATATGAATAAATAATAATTATAGTAACAAAATTTATACTGCGTATAAAAATGTAATGGGCTTGATGCAATGCATTTCGATAAAATTTTTTTGTTACTTATAACAAAGTTATAAGTTTTATAAATTTAAAAATATATAATCGAGAATTTTTCATGGAAATCGTACGTTTTTCTTTAACTTTGATGTCCGTTTTCACTACAAAGAAAAGTCCAGAGGTTAAATTTTTTCTTCAAATTAAAGTATATTACATAAGTTTTAATTTAAAATATATATAAAAGTATCAGCCTTTCCGAAACATTTTCAAAAGTTAAGTTGAAAAAGTTAATTTTTTGTAAAAAAGTTGCCATTTTGAAACCCTTCCTGTGGGCTGGTAAAGGGTCAAATGTTCACAAAAATATATCAAATAATAGGTAAATTCCTAAGGTATCTATAAATAGATAAATATTGAGTCGGTCATTTTTAAAAAAGTTATGAGAGTTTTAAGAAAAATAAATTTAAAAAATGTCGAAAATTAGCGATTTTTAAATTTGTAATTATTTGGGGAATTTCCCCCGTTTACGGGGAACAAGGGAATTTTTTTCAATTTTTGTGGATAATGTTTTCAACTAAATACGATTTGTGATCTTTTGACGTATCGATGAGAAAAATCGGTCGTGAGAGCTAGAAAAAGTGCCGACATAAAAAAAAAACACATCATGCAATTATTATAAGAATACCATATTTTCTCTAACCCAATCTTTCCTGTATGCTACTTATCAGCTTCTGACATTTTGCAAGGACATTTACAAAGAAAAGATAACACAAAAAAGTGTTTAGGTTTTGAATCAAAATCAAACCAATGTTTTTTCATTGGTACAGTGAAGCAACTAGAAAATATTTCGGTAAATAAAATAATAAAACTACTATCTTCTAATTAAAAATTATTTTGAGAATACGTCATTGTCAATACACAAAACCTTAAAATTATAATGGTCTAAATAATATAATTATAGAAAAAATTGCCGTTATACTTTTAGAAACAGTACAATATGTCTCGCAACTTTATGAGGTATAGAGTATTAAGGAAAATTTTATCCTTGTAAATTATAATAAAATATAATTATATAAAATTTATTAATTTTAAAATAACTATAATTTTATAAAGTTAAAGTTAATCTAATATAACTTGGTGAAAAGTAATAATTTACAATAGATTGTATTTGATTATTTAATACAATTTAATATTAGGTAACCTAACTGTAAGTAATAAATTCTTCTCATAAAAAAATATTTTACATTTATTATTATTTGTAAGATAATATAAAAGTGTGATCAACTCTGATCAATAAAATTTATTATTAGTTGAAATTCATTCCAATCATATTTGAAATATTGTATTTGTTTATTATATTCATTACACCAACACATTTAATAAAAAAGATTTATAACATGACATAATTTTGTGTACATTAATCTAATTATCTAAAAATAAATTTATTTTAGAAAAATAAACATTGGTATATATTATGATAATTTTCAAAACATTTTGAATGTTCACCAGTAATTAATATTATAACTATTAATATTATAAATTCATTATTTTAAAAAAAATGAATAATTTTAGTATAACAATAAACATAATAAAAAACAAAAAAATGATTATTTTTCAAGAATAATTTGTAAATTATTATTCATATTAAAAATAAATTAAGCAAATGAAATATTTATAGATTTGCTTTAGCATATTTAGCTTCTTCCAACTTAGTTTGAAGTTTTTCTCCTAATTCTTTATTAACCTTGGTGAAATGATAAATAGCTTTTTCCTAAATTTGAAAAAAGAATCAACACATAGAATTGTATAAATTTTGAAAGGTTTTAACTAATGTGTATTTAACACATTGTAATCAAAATTTTTTTAAATACCATTAATTGATTTAATATCATCAAATAACATATTATAAGCATAGACTATACGAAAAAAAATAATTCATATTAAATTTGTGGTATAACAAAATATTTTTACTTGTAAGAAATCTGCAGCACATTTAATACTATCAGCTAAGTTTTCGGCCAACCTGTTTTGTTCATCATTTGACATAACTTTTTTGTATAAAATACCTGCTTGGCTATAATTGTCACTACTCCAATCATATCTAAAAATTATTTAATAAAAATATGCCTAACATCAAATTCAAATTTTAAAGTATATTCATACAATATAAGTACTTTTTTTCATATATTTTTACACAATATTTCTTTAATAATAATATTAAAATTAATAAGGTGTGGCAGGACCAAGTGATTTAAGTATCAAAAAGTTTTTTTTAAGACATAAATAATAACTACTTCATTCCGTTTTTATAAATTATAAATAGTTATTTAAGTTGATTTTTTTCATAGTATTGGCATGGATATCTAGATTAATTTGACATAATAAAAATTCGTTTTTTAATTTTTGGTATTTAGATCCCTAAACCCTAGATCCCCACGTCTCAAATATAAATAATAATTCCATAATAATAATAAATAATTTGAAAACATATGCGTGTATGATACTTTATCAATTAAAATGTATAAAAAATAATTTTTTATAAATCCTTTTTTTTTAAGATAAAATACATCAAAATTTCCATTTAATTCAAAAGTTTATCGATGATTGTAATGCAATATGGTTTGAACATTCTATATTTTTCAGTGCTACAGTGAACTCAATGAACCTTATTACAAAATATTCAACAAATTCCTATTCCTCGAATTTTGAAAACATTTTGAAAAAAAAAATTTTCTTTCTATACACATTTTTAAATGTTTGCATCCCCCTGTATAAATAATTAATCTCTCTAATTAAAAAAAAATTATATTGATTCGGTCATTTTTAAAAAAATTATGGCAATTTTAGTTTAAAAAAATTGAAAAAATGTCGAAAAGTAGTGATTATTAAATTTGGGGGATTTCCCCTATTTATAGAGAACGATAGTTTTTTTCAATTTTTGAGGGTAATTTCTTCGACTAGATACGATTTGGCATCTTTTGACATATTGTTCATCAAAATCGGTCCAGCGAGAGCTGAGATTGAGCATTCACAGACATAAAAAATAAAAATAAAAAAAAAAACACATCATAGTCAAATTAATACCTTCTCAGCTTCGCATCGAAGCTAAAATGGAAGATCTACTAGAAAATAATATTTATAAATATGACTTAATAAAAACCAATATATAAGTGTCCAAGTGATACAATTATGTATCAAACACAACAGTGTTCATTTAATTAGTATAATTTTTAAATCTTAGGTTTTAATAATTCAAACTAATATATGGAGTAAAACTTTATTTCTTTTAGTTTAGTATTTTTATTATTATTTATTATTATTATTTGATTTATTAGAAAAGAGAATGTGAAAGGATCAAAAATTGTTATGAACTACAAGTAATTTTCTTAGATGAACTAGTTAAACTATGATATTATTAAAAAATATAAAGTTAGTATCCTTATAAGTTAAGAGGCATTGACATAAAAGTATTTAACCAAATGAAAATTCAATAGTTAAAAATAAGTAATTCTAAACAAAATTAAAATTCTTCATTTCAAAGTTATTATTATAGAAGAAATTTGGTGATTAACGATAAATCAGTCGCCCTTTGTAAATATACACAATGTATATTATGTATTATATATTATATACATTATTACGTATTATTGAAGATGATGATAATTTTACAGATATTTAGATTTCTACCTATTAACATCACCAGAAACAGAAAATGTTGATAGTTTCAAATGCGATTGATTTTCAGGACCTGAAAAACTGTTTGGATAATAGTTAGGTGCTGATCCTTGATTATTATATGCTTGAGGACCATCTCGTTGATAGTTGGTTACTTTTGATCGATAAGGACAATTGACTGGCAACTGTAGATAATTTGTACCCAAACGATGTCTATGAGTATCACTGTAGGAAAACAGACGTCCCTGAAATAAAACACTTAACATAAAACTTATTTTTAAGATTTTAAAGAGTGTTCTATTTGACTTATAAAGAAAATAAGAAATAGTAAAAAGAATTATTTTATGAAAAAACCCTTAAATAAAAAAATGTATAAAATATATTAATAATGAAGTATTATTTATTACTGCTGTAACAGGGGAACCTAGATATTAAAATCCTAGTTTGTCTCCATTCAAAATTATTTATCCTAATTATTTTGAATACATGTGAGTATATACTACACAAAAAAAAAACTTAAAATTGATGTTTTTATTCAGTTAACAATACTTATGGTATTATTATAAAATTATTTGATACAAAATTTTAGGTACACTTAACACGGTTGCCAGGAATTGACGGGCGGTTATAAAAAGTGTACTGGAAATTGTGTGAAAAAATGAGTCACAGTACAGGATTAGAACCCGTGAGCCAAGGCATCATAAAGGCAAACCTTACCACTAGTCCACCGTGGACTTATGATTCAGATTTCTATACACTTTTATTTAGGTTTATAATGTGATATGCGGCAGAGGAAAACATGGGAAACACATGTCATACTAACAAAATATAGAATTTTATAATTTTATTTTAAAAAAATGGTAATTAACAATACATTATTAATGGTGATTCTTTGACATATATTAAGTATTACCTGCAAGAGCTTGTCAGGACTTGGTTCAATACCAGGTATTAAGTGTGCTGGACTAAATGCTATTTGTTCAATATCAGCAAAATAATTTGTAGGATTGCGATTTAAAACAAGTTTGCCAACTTGAATTAATGGATATTCAGCATGAGACCAAACTTTAGTAATATCAAAAGGATTGAAAGAGCATGAAGCTACTTCTTCAAATGTCATCACTTGTATATATAATGTCCATGTTGGGTAATTACCATTAGCTATAGCATTATACAAATCACGATTGGAATAATCAGGATCATCAGCAGCAAGATTACGTGCTTTCTTAACATCAAGATTTTTGATTCCTTGGTCAGTCTAAAGTAATTATAACAATATGTTTAGTTTTGCAAACCTTATATATGTCTCATTTTCCCTACTGCATTTATGGAAATAGTAGTAAATAAATATTACCTTAAAATGAAATTTAACATAAACCGCTTTATTACTAGAATTAACCATTTTAAAAGTATGTGAACCATAACCATTCATGTGGCGATAACCATCTGGAATACCACGATCAGAAAACAAAATGATAACTTGATGAATCGACTCTGGGCGTAATGTTAAAAAGTCCCAAAACATATTTGCATCCTAAAAAAATATTTGCTTAAATTTCAGTAATAGATAATTAAATAAATTTTATCTAACCTTCAAATGAGTAACTGGATTTCTTTTTTGAGTGTGAATGAAACTTGGAAATAACATTGGATCTTTTATAAAGAAAATTGGTGTATTATTTCCAACCAAATCCCATACACCATCTTCTGTATAAAATTTTATAGCAAATCCTCTAGGATCTCTGAAAATAAGTAATAATTAATAATTAATTTTACTTAACCACAGATAAAACTATTTTTGATAAAATTTCAAGTATATCTACGGAACATATAATTGTAGAGTCAACATTTTTTTTTATCTAAAGGATAATTATTTTTCATTCATTACCCATTTTTTGATTGTAAAAATTTAATTTTCAATTTATGTGTCTCATTAACAAGGCTGGGCAAATTATAGATTTTTTTAATATTATAAAATTAAAGGAAAAATTTAATAAGTTAAAAGTCAATTGGTTATTTTATAAATAAATGTAAAAGTTAAGTTAACAAAATCTTATTAACTTGATAAGTCAAATTAATGCAAATACTAATAGTTTTGCAAAAATAAAATATTTATAGGGTAGTATACATCTTTAACTTATTAACTCGTTAATGCCCAGCCTTGCTCATTAACAGGGCTGAGAATTATATGCATCTGTAAATGCTACTTAAGCTTGAAGGGTCCTAAGTTTGTGCAACTTTGTCAAAAAATTATATAGCAACACAGAAATATTTTTCGTTATACAGGGGATTAACCTTCTAATCCTTCCCTCCAAAAAAAAACTATAACATCATACAAACCACATTATTAAGTTTTTAAGTCAATTGATGAAAATCTGTACTGGCTGATGGTATGTTCATATTAGCTTAGTAAAATGTATAAATGCATATAATTCACAGCACTGTTCATTAACAAAATAAAATTTCTAAAACTAATGTATATTTATATATAACTTATAGAGGAAGTGGGGTAACACTAAAGCTTTAAAGGTTTCAACTTGCCTTTAATAAGAGAATTCTTAAATATTATTTTGTTTACAACGATGTAGATGTAAAAACATTAAAAAAAAAAGGAAAGGGATCAAGCTGTTTATTACAATGAAGGCTGGGCCAAACTAAGTATTTTAACTAAAAATTAAGGTTGAACCAGAATATATTGATGAATTTTAATATAATTTTAAATTCAATTTCAGATTAGAAACTTTAGATGTACTTAAGACTGGGACGGAAAGTTCATTTATAAAAATTATAGATTTATTTTTATTTATATTGTTGAAACTGATACATAAATTATGAAGATAAGAATAAATTTATTAAAATTATCCTGATTGAAACCAGTTATTTATATTAGTTTAAAATATATCTAAAAAAATATATTGTGAGTTTAATTTATTTATTTATTTCAATGTGTACAATTATTAGGACGTTTTTAATCCTAATAAAAATAATTATACTTCGAACTTGAAGAGGTTCTATTAATTAACCCTATTCTAATATACATTGAAGATATACACTTTCGCAGTAACTTTCAGAATATAGAATAGTGAGGCATTTCGCCTTCCACTACTTTTATTACTATGAGAATGTCTGGAAGAGTTATTATAAACGTTTTTTTTTAATAAGCTCAGTTGGTAGTTGATTTTTCGAAAAACTATAATAATTGTACAGATCTTCAAGATTTTCAATATTTGACAATTTTATATGGTTATACTTTGAAGGAGGATTAAAAAGAAAGAAAAGAAGAGTCAAAAATATTTTTATAAAATTTTCAAAATAAGTACTAGAGTTATACAATTGTACAGGGGAATTGATTAGTATTTTGGAAGTTATTAACACTTTACTATGGTGATAGTTTAAGGTGAAGCACGGCTATATTTATTTTTATCTCTAGGTATTTAAAAACAGCACTACTCCCCCGCCTTAGTATAAAAATGCTAATATCTTTAAAGTACTAGTTCAAAAGTTATTATTGACCGGTCATTTTCTTATTTTTAAGCTAGATAAATAGATACGTTTCCATTTAAAAAACTTAAGTTGATACTGTTTTAAAGAGGAGAGAGGGAGAATAAGACCATTTTTTTAAATTATAGAGAGAGAATACTATATACATCTAAAAAAAATTATAATAAGTTTAATACTTTTTAAAATATTTCATCAATAATTTTATACTTCCACTATGTATTCGACCACTTTCAACCCAATTTTATACTTAAAAATGAGTTTTATAATTATCACAATCTACCNAAAAAATTATAATAAGTTTAATACTTTTTAAAATATTTCATCAATAATTTTATACTTCCACTATGTATTCGACCACTTTCAACATAATTTTATACTTAAAAATGAGTTTTATAATTATCACAATCTACCTAATTCTTAGCTAAATACCTATTATTGGCTATAGAGAATAAGAAAAAACATATACTTTTACAATTATATTTAATAAAAAAATCACAAATGCAGAAATGATGTTAAATTAACTAATAATATTTCATTTATAATAAAAAAAAATAGAAAAATTATTTTTTTATCAAAAATTTAAATAATACCTTACAGTATCAGCAGATCCTGATTCTCCACCTACTGTAGAAAACCTAACAGCTACAGGAGTTTGTTTGCCAATACTGGAAAAAATATTTGCCTTACAGTACTTGCTTATATCATGGGTTACTTCAAAGTAGCCAAATGCACCTTACAAATATATAAAATTATATTATACACAATAAGCATGATTTTTGTAATTCAATAATTGAATTTGTTATTAAACTAAATTCAAAATATATCGTTTTAATTTTAATAAGGTACCTTCTCATTATTCTAAAGTAATGCCTACCGATGGTTTCAGGGCGGCCTGAAAAAAACAAAAAAAAAAAGTACCTCCTCCTTTAGCATGAACTACGCGCTCTGGTATACGTTCACGATCAAAATGAGTTATTTCATCCAAAAAAGTATGATCTTGCAACAATAGTGGACCTCGCTCTCCAGCTTGAAGAGTATTAGTGTGATCATCAACAGGTGTACCATTGCCAGTTCGTAATATATCAAGTGACTGAAAATGTTCAATTAACTAATTAAATTTTTTTGAAATGTTTTTTTTTTTTACTAAAAAATTGTAAATAATTTTTATGCACTCTTTTAAGTAGTTTTGTTGTGCGAGGCCGCGCATTTAAGAAATATACAGTTCAAAGTAGCAAATTTTACGCCCCCATGAATAAAAAGGTTTCTACTTTGATTTTTGATAAATTTTAATGAAATTCATGATTTACTGATCATTTTATGACTAGTATTTTTTTCAATGCCGACCCCAAATCTGCCATTAAAAATTACACCAAAACATCCCAATTTATCTCTGTTTAAAAATTAAAATAATTATATGTGTAAATTAACTTAATGAAACGGAGGATATAAAAGACGAAAAATACTCGAATATATTCTTTTAATAGAAGTAATTATAACATTTTTAATTCTGTGATGCTAGTGTAAAACATCTTAAATTTATAATGTATCATTTTATTTTTTAATGTATAATTATATTTTTATAGAATGTATTATAGCTAATAAATTTTTATACATTTAAAAATGATTTAAATTATAAAAATGTATATTTTTAATTCAAATTTTTGCATTGATATCTTATTATATATTAAATCATTAAATAATTAGCTAATGTTGAAAAAATTACTTAATGACGTACGATTTTCAATTTTTTTATTTTATGAAAAAACTCGACGTTATTCTAGGAAAATTATTTGTGAAGATGTGAACATTTTTATTCGCACGCCGCGGCGTGAGCATTTCAAAATTTCTGTCAAAAACGCTTATTGCCGACAGCGTTTTTCCATGCACATATATTTTAATAGAGTATAATTTTACTTTGCACATCTCAATTTTTGTAGTTTTCACTAATAACATGGCATTTAAAGATTATTTTTCATGATTATTAAGTTTTCTTTCGTCTATTTATTGTTTGGAATAATAATTAGTAGATTATTATGAAGTATGATTGTGAATACACATAAGTATTTTGTTGTCGTATTATTATTTTTTTAATTTACAAGTGTCAATAATTGTCTAGTAAATGCTTTTAGAGTTATATTTTTTTACATAACACATATCGTACTCGGCATAGCCGTATACTCCTACCGGAATCAATGACATACCTGTAAAAACAATCCGAAAGGCCTAACGAGATTACAACGCGTGAGGTCTACAGGACACCGGGTCTAGGGCGGAACCCCAGTTAGGCAAAGTCTAGTAGTATAACTACTACTAAAAATTAAGAAATAAATCAAACATTTAAAAAAAATGTATTGAACCTATTTTAGACTAATATAAGGCTAAATAATTATTCAGGGAACGATCAAATATCACGCATGTGACAATAATTAACGACGAAACTTGTTAGTAATATTATAATTATTTTAATCAGGTTAAAGATATAAAAAAAAAATTACACAAAGGTATTTAACTTGTTTTATATAAAATTAGATATTTATATCTTAAAAAACGTTATACAAATCAAGAATTGTCAAATGTAAATAATATAAAAGAAATGAACACTAACTTATACGTATAATCTTTCTTAAGCAACCTTGATTTATTTAAATCAAATACGCTACTGTAAAATAAAATATTCGTTGTTATTAACAAACTTTTGTATTTTTTGTTTTGTTTTTTGACAATGAGTGTATACGTTAAAAATAAATCAAGTGATATAATTAAAATTATTTTCTAATACTAAGTTAAGGATAACGTACAGTTTATAGAAATCATAAACGCTTAGTTTTGTCCATAAAACAAAATAGTTTTATCTATAAATATGAAAAATTGATGTGAAAAAAATACTTAATAAAATTTAAGTATAATAGCAATTTTACAAATTTTCCACAATGTGCATAATTAAAATACTTGTTTATGATTATTATATAATATTATCCTATTTCATTTTCTACAAACATTTCTTATAATCTTAATAAAATATTTCCCAATTTTTCAATAATAATTTTTATAATTTCTTTCCTTAAAACATGTAAAAATTAAAAAATAAACATAAAGCACCTATTTTCTCCATCACTACGCATCATAAAATATAACAAATATACTTATTGCACAACAGTGTAGATTGTAAATATATATTTTTTTTTAATAAAAAAAAATATATGCATGTATTAATTTCACAGTAATATAAAATACTAGATAAAAAATTATTGCACTTGTATTCATTTTTAATTACTAAAGTAAAATTAAATATATTGTAACCGTTATAATAACAAATTAGTATTAACTTAAATATATTATAGGAATTAAGCATAAGTATGTGTAGGTGCATATTTGGATGTGATAACACTTATGATTACTCATTAGAAGAAATTTTATCAAAACGTAATGCTGTTCTCTTTCAATTATTTTATACTTGCCACCCTGTTAAATATAGTTATGCAGTCTTATTATCACTCGCTGGTAAAAATTTAATACCGTTTAATATATGGTTAAATACTAATTTTAATTATCTCAGTTAAGTTATACTTGTGTTAAATAAATTATATCATAGTGTAGAATAGCCTACTTACTTAAATAATTTAAAAAGTATTTAATAACATTGTTTAATTTTTTGAATTACCCTTGCCTCTATAAGGGCTAGTATGACTAGAGATATAAATTTTTTTTTTTTTTTTTAATATAAATAAAAAAAAACTGTTTTATTCATTTTTATTTTCATGTTTATCAAATAATGTCTATGATGTGGCAAAACACATAAAACATTTAATTTTATATGTTTTTAAATTAATTTTAATGATTTTTACTTAAATATGACAGAACAAAAATATTCTAGACTAATTAGTTACATTTTCTTCTTATTATTTTAGAGGTCATTAAGTTTAATCGCCGTAACAACAACGACTTTTTATTTCTGTCTATCCCTTAAAACTTCCTCCGTGTTTTCCACTTAAGTCATATTGACTATCTGCCCATAGTTGTTTGGGTCGTTCTCTAGACCATTTGTGTCCGGTCTCCATTTTTTTATATTCACAATTATTTTTTCAGATCTTCAAACATGACCAACCTTCTCAACTCTTCATTGACCCTAACTTCAAATTCATCTTCCTCATTATTTTTTGGTCCAAAAATGTTTGAAATTATTTTTTCTTTCAAAAACCTAATTTGTTCTTATCCTTTTTAGTGAATAACCATGTCTCACATGTGTATAATGTTATTGGTCTAATTAAAATTATGTGCAGTGTTAACATTAATTTTCTTGAGTGTAATTTTGATTTGAATAGTGTTAATAGACTAATATAACATTTGCTATTATCATACTTTCATTTACTTCTTCATAAGTATTCACGTTTTTGTTCACCAAAATCCAAGGTATTCGAAATGTTAACCTTAAAAAATGAAAAAACTTCTATTTCTAATTTTCTTACCATGTGTTTTTTCTGGATAGTATAAGGTACTTTGTTTTTTCTTCATTTATGTTAAGACCGTTTTTTTTCCTGATCTTATGAGCTATTTTATGGATTGCTTTACACTCTTTTTATTTTCTGTAGTTATCACTAAATCATTAACATACGGTACAATTTCAAGCTGTTTATTATCACTAATTTTTATTCCTTTCGCCTAACTAAAAACTTGTTTCACCACAGACGTCTAAGGCATTATTGAATAGAGCTGGTGACAGAGCGTCTCCTTGTCTAAGACCTGTCTATAGTGGAAATTCATTTGAGTAAAATCCTCCAATACTTATCTTGCATTTAGAACCTTGTATACACTCTCTGATCATTCTAAAAGCTTTTCGGGTGTCCCAAAATGTGAGACAATATGTTCAACAGTTTCTTTATATTTACTAAGTCGTATGCAGTTTTAAAATCCACAAATAGCATGTGTAAATTTTTCCTAAGTTCCTTTCCAATTTTCAGTATTTCTATTACCACTTCTATTTCTTGTAACGTTGGTTTGTCCAGTAATTTATTTAACACTTAACTATTAAAAGATTTTGTTCAGAAGAAAAAACAGTATTATAAATTTTAATTTATTTGAACTTTTTAGTATAGATGAATGTACTCCGATAGCTTTTTTGTAACATCTGATAATTATTTAACAAATGGTATAGTACACAAATCATTTTATGATCAATTATGTAAAAAAAAAGCGTACACACTTATTCCACCTTATCTTACTGCAAATATAAAAAAATTTACAGTGTTTATTACAGAAAAAATGACGCTTATGTTAACAAGAAATAAAAAATCAAGGTCGATATTATCAATAAACTAAATAAGAATTTAAAATAAATGTTGCTAACTCAGAATATTAAACAAGTTACATATTAAAAGGTGCTTTATAAAACAATTAATTTAGATAAACATAAAATTACTATTTTTTTATAAATAAATTAACTATAGAACATTTAAAGAAGATGTGAAAATATATTTCAAGTCAAAGTGAAAAAAATTTATAATAGCTATTGTTAATGGCGTAGCCAAGGAAATTATAGCCTTCCTTGCTATTGATCGGTATTGAAACAAACATAAGAAGAGTATTTTTTGATAGTCTTCTAATTATTTGATTTATTTTATTTAAATAAAATTGACATTTCTTTAAGTTATTTAAGTTAGGGATGATTCTAAAAAGTAATTATTAGTTGAAAAATCATGAAATATATGCAACTAAAATATAAAAATAAAAACTTACATAATGAAAACCTTAAACAGAGTTTTCAGTAAGTAAGGAAACTGGTGGTTTTTATTAAATTTAATACCTAAATATTAAAATTATATGTTATGAATTGATTAAATCCTACCAAGAGAAAATCGTGGCATTGTTCAGAATATTGTATTTTTAAAAAATAAAATGAAATTTAGAATTATAAATTCAAAAACAGACAGCAATCATTACTAAGTCAATTATATTTACATTATAAGAAATCAGGAGATACATGATGTGTCATTCTATTTTTTCGTAGCAAGGTTAATTGAAACATGGCATAATCAATATTATTCAACGTCCATAAATCCAATTATGCGATTGATTGAAACAAAATACATGGTT